ACTTCTTTTAACAGCAGGTTCTTAAAATTGTGCTATTGTTGTGTGTCCCCCACCATGCTGGAAAAAAAGGGCCTGTTTATTTCAGCTTCTTCCCTTTGGAAGCACAAAATCCATCAAATTTGTTTTGACAGTATCTATCAAAATGACCCTCTTTAGAAGAGACTAAGGCTCAGTCTACACAGGCAGAAGAATGACGAGCTAGAGTTCTGAGGTGGTACATCAGACTGCTTCAGGCTGCAGGAAGGGGGTGCCATTTTTGAATGCTCCCTCATGCTTTTTTAATGCCTGCATGTAAAGAAACAAGATTCAGATGCTCTCTTCTTGCTCTGCTGATTTTCAGCTTACTGAGACGTGTGTATGTGCATGTTTTTACACAGGTGAGTATTCAAAAATGGTATCCCTATCTGCAGTCCCATTATTCTACTTCAGAATTCTCTGTATTTGATTCTGGTTTAACATTAAACACCTTTTAGTTTAACATCAAACACAGAGCCACTATTGATGTATAGGTTTGAGTGTTGGACTAGGACTTGGGAGACCAGGGTTCAAAACCCCACTCAGCCATGAAGCTCACTGGGTGACCTTGGGCCAATCACTGTCTCTCAGCCTAACCAACCTGACTGGAAGTTGTGAGGATAGCACCGTCTTCCCACACACAACCCCACACACTACTTTTCAAGGTTAGCTTAGCAACCACAGTGCCTCTCATTATTAGGCTCAGTACTAAAATACATCTGTGCTAAGCTTTGAGCTTGTTATGTATGCCAGTAACATCAGAGGAAGTGTAGATCATAGGACAGCTTTGCACATCATAACTGCTGTGATGTATTGCAGATAATGTTCCCCAGGTGTGTATATGTGTGCCTTTAACATGTATGTATTCAGACATTACTTCCACACTTGACATGTTTCCTGAGGAAAACACTGGTGTAACAATGGCATTTCTTCTCACAGCTGTGGTAAGGTGTAGCACTGTCTGTGGGGAAAGAGGAGCAGTCGTAAAAGCCTGATTCTTTATCAGGAAGATGAAACGGGGTTGGAGATGGCACAAAACTAGCCTGTACCAACCAAGCTGAGTTATTCACCCAAAGCCACCGATCTTTGTTAACTCAACAAAGCGGAATCCTGCAATGGCTGCTGTAGAGCTCAGTGTTCTTCCAATGGGGCCAGCAAGTGTTTCCTGTAGGCCCCTCTGAGTAAATGGAGAGAAAATGACCTGTTCTCCCTTAATTAATGGGAGGCCCAAGCTCAAAAAGGGAAGAATGAAGGCATATTTGTGTGTGTCTGTGTGTGTGTGTGTGTGTGTGTGTGTGTGTGTGTATATATATATATATATATATATATATATATATATATTTGTTAAAGACTGTGTGTACATGTGCATATGGGTGCATGTGCAAACATGTACGCTCACATGGGAGTCTCCCCCCTGCTCTGCTCCTGAAAATAGGCAGCCCCATAAGTAGACATCAAACGGACTCTAACAGAGTAATAGATCCCAGATTTCATTCCTCCCACACACACCTTCTTAACAGAGTATCTGTGTTTGTTCACTCTGTTGTCTGGCTTCCTGTCAAGATATCCTGCAGCCAGCCTAGAGCAGCTCCTAATGGGCTGCCAGGGGATTTAGTCTGATACGAGTGTGTACCAGGTGCTGACAGCTTGCTGGAGCAGCTCGCTCTGCTAGCGTGATTGGAAATTGGTCTCTCATTTTCACCCTGTCATAGTGAGTAGATAGCAGAGGGATGAGCAGGGATGCTCTCTTTCTGTAGATTTCCACTACTGTGCAAGGTGGGGCATGGGAAGCTTCTTCTGCCTGTCAGGGATTTGCTCAAGCACATTTCTTCCCCTACCTCAGCTCTTGTCATAAGGGGGCAGCTCTCAGGTTAGCCTTATCAAGCCACACAAAGCAGTCCCCCTTTGGGCAGCAAGATTCAGAGGCAGGTGCCATTTTCCTGCATCCCTCCTCTATCTCTGCATGCCATTTTTAAAAAGAAAGAGAAAAGGTCCCGTCTTGAGGTTTTGTGTTTGTGTTTTCAACATTTTCGGATGGGAAAAGGTCTCAGGCCAGCAGTGGATGGGCCATAACATTTAAATATGGCTGCCAGGTATTGTCAGCTTGCGCAACGGGGGAAAGAATCTCTCCCCAATAGTTCCTTACATGCACCAATTTAATTTTTAAATGTACCGAAAGAAACCTTACTGATAAGAGGAGCCATGTAAAGAGCTTCTTATGTGTTTGTCTATAGCAAATAAGAACCATTACCAGGTGAAAAGGAGGGAACCAAAACACATAGGTTATTTCTTTTTTAAAGGTGATCATGGGCTAAGTGATGGTCAATGAAGCTAGTAAAAAATTGTCTTAAAATGTTTGTGGGCTTAATTTGCAAGACTGCTGACAAGGGTATGGCCCCGGGCTCCCCACCCCCCAGGCAGAACATGCTGAAACTCAGTTCCAGCACCTCTCAGGTGGGTACGATTGCCATTCTAAGAGGTGTTCTTGATGAGTTCTGGCACCTCTTTTTCTAGAAAAATAGCACTGGTATTGCCTTTTTGGGTCTAAAGAAAAAATGGCATATTGGTCTGGGTTTGGGTGTCTGAGATTGCTGGCAAATCCCACATTTCTGGTATTCAATTATTTTTGAGATGGTAAGGTTTTGCAAGAATGAATACAAATTTGTTTGCTTTAATGTCCTTCTGGAATATCTCTGAAGGGCAGACAGGACATTCCTTGGTTGTTTTTGTCTCTCATTTTATATAAAGCTGAGAAAATTGCCACTCTAGGCTACAATCAGCATGAGACTTGTATAGTCAAGTGATAGGAGGGCTCAAATAAAAACATGTAAAAATGGAGCTGAACCGCAGTCTTTTGTGTGTGTTTTTTTCTTCTTTTATTTTCAGGGAATTGTTTCTCATGGATCAATACCATGTAAAATTCACTCAGGAGCCATATACAACAATACTTATGGGAAATGCACATATATGTGGGAGCAGAATAGTGGATAGAGATTTTGCAAGTAACTCTAGCTTTGCTGGCTGTGGGAATACTGGTAAGTGTTTAATTTTTAAAAACCTTTTTAAGCCAACTAATATCTAGATTCAGTTGTAATGTAAGGTGTTGTTTTGCTAATTTAGTTAATATAATCCCTTGCTGAATGAGATGAAGAGGTGGGGCCTGAGCCTGCTTCCCTTTTGCATGTATTTTACAGAACAAATCCTCAGGTCTAATCAGTTTCACTTTTCTTTTTTAATTATTGGACAAGGGAGAGCAGCTGCAGTTTATACCTAGGAAAATACAGCAAATACCACATCCTGCAACAACAAGGACACAAACCATTACAGTGGTACCTCAGGTTAAGAACTTAATTCGTTCTGGAGGTCCGTTCTTAACCTGAAACTGTTCTTAACCTGAAGCACCACTTTAGCTAATGGGGCCTCCTGCTGCTGCCGCACCGCCGGAGCACGATTTCTGTTCTCATCCTGAAGCAAAGTTCTTAACCTGAAGCACTATTTCTGGGTTAGCGGAGTCTGTAATCTGAAGCGTATGTAACCTGAAGCGTATGTAACCCGAGGTACCACTGTATATTAATACATACTCAAGAAACCAATGCAAGATCTGTGCTAATGTCACCGCAGCAGCAAGCTATTAGATGTTAGGAACCTTAAAAGTCGCTTTCTTTGTTTTAGAGACACTATCTACTGTATTCAGCCACAGTGAACTTTCCAAAGTCAAGGTGAGGGAGAACCTGTTATGGGGGTGCAACAGGTTTCTGTTCACACAACAGGACTTCACCTTATTACCCTCCCTGCTACAGTCCTCAGACTCTCAGGGTCTGGAAACCAAGCCTTATGAGGGAGTCAGGTATGCTTAGCCTGGAGAAGAGAAAACTGAGAGGTGATATGATAGCTATTTTCAAATATCTGAAGTGCTGTCACATAGAAGATGAAGCATGCTTGTTTTCTGCCACTCCAAGGGGTCAGACCTAAACCAATGGATTAAAATTACAATAAAAGGGATTCTGACTAAGCATTGGGAAGAACTTTCTCACTGTAATAACTGTTTTATAGTGGAATGGGCTACCTCAGAAGGTGGACTCTCCTTCATCTGAGGTTTTTGAACAGAGGTTGGATGTCTGTCTGTCAGGAATTCTAGCTGTGATTCCTGCATTGCAGGGGGTTGGAGTAGATGACTCTGGGAATCCCTTCCAATCCTACAATTCTAGTATTCTATATGCTCTGGGAGCAAGCCCCACTGAATTCAATAGCACTTACTTTTGAATAGACACGGTTAGGATTGTGCTATAACACTCTCTTAGGAAAGTGATTTTTTATATATGAAATTATTAATCTGAAATATTTTTGGTATTTTTAATATGAAGTATTTAAACTATCTAGACCAAAATAACGACCTTTTTGTTTCCTTTTCAGAGATGCCAATGGATCAAGACAATGGGTCAAGACAGCCCCAAATGATTTTGGCCACATCAAGTTAAAATGTCTGCGCTTGAGGCTTCTGGAGTGCCGGGTAACAAGACTCCAAAATGTGACTCCATGATGCAATTCCAGGGTGCACATTAAGCAGAGGTCTGCTTGGATTCTTTGGAGAAAGCCCTTCCTTAAGGTTCCTATAGAATCCAGAAAGGGATGTCACAGGACAGCAAAGCTGTTCCGCTGTTTCTTTAATTTTTGCTACCTTTTAGGGGTCTTCTCTTTATTTCTACCATCTAGCCGAATATCCTTTCTTACATCAAATTCTCCTTTCACAACTCAAGAGGTTGTGTTACCCCGCAGCACTTTTGGCCCAGGGATTCTCCATGGTGACTGACTTGGCAACTTCCAATACAGCCTAAACCTGCCTTTTTGGTCAGCTCCATTGAGAAATGTATGGTGAAATCTATGTAGCTACAACCTTCGTGTTGGGAAGAGAAAAGGGCAGCAAGGAAGGGTTCAGACAATGGTTATTTCTTCTCAGAGGCTCATCTTCTTACCGGATGCATCATTTGCCCCACTGTCTTCTATGGCTTTTTATTCCTATGTGATTATATTGCTAATTTCATATAGGGATTGAAGCCGTGCAGTACGCTGGGGGTTTGCAACAGAGGCTGCTCACCTTGTTCAAGTCAAAGCCTGTTGGAACAGCTCAGTGTCATTCATAAAGAGGAGACAGCTCTCATAGGCAGCCATTCACTAGTGACCATTCCTCCTCCTCCTCCTCTGATGTTGCTGTAGCTGCTTCCCTTTGCATGCTGCCCGGGCAAGAGTGGTGCTAGGCCCAAGTACAAGCAGTGCCTTATTCTCCTACTCCTTCAGATAACAATTTAGAAGTGCTGGGCATGATTATATGCAGTGATGACCTGCTTTCCGCTGTGGGGTGTGTGTGTTGGATTACATATGCATGCAAACATGTAGCATTCCACTATTTAAGTGCATAAGAATGGCTGCAGTATTTGCCTTTAGTAAGAACCCTAAAGACTATGGAGGGAATGGAGGCAGGGAGGACAGGGCGGCCTAAGATATTTTGGTGCCTGAGGCGAAACACCCTGCTGCTGCCCCTGCTATGGTGGGGGAGGTTCTGCAAGTGTTTCTTCTGGGGGTGGGAAGAGATTTGGCAAGGGTATGAAGAAGCCCTTGGCAATTATCCCTTCCCACCCGATGGCAAAGCTAGGTGGTGGAGCGCTGCACTACTCTGCCCCCATTGAAGCCTCTGTTACCTGGATTGCTTCTCCAGCAGTGGTGTTTCAGGGCACTCGCAGGGGCGCCACCTGTGTTTCCGCCACCTGAGGCAGCTACTTCACCCCGCCTCATGAATGGGCTGGCTCTGAGGGAAGAATATTTTCACCTGCCCATGCTCTGATAAAGGGCTGTCTTCCAAAACTGAATGGCAGGGCAAAAACGTGATGAACCATGATGTGGGGTGTGTGGGTGTGTGAATGGAATCCTAATATACAGCAACATGTTCTCCAGCCACTTTGAAGGGCACCTATTTTGTCACAAGATGTACTATGTATATAAAGATGCTTTAGGGTTCTGCAACTTCTACTGCAGCAATTCTTAAAATAAAAAGGGGAAATCTGAAATTATTATTGTGCGAACTCAGTTCAGTTTGATTGAGAAGCAGCCCCTCAAAGGAGGAATTGTCACATCCCTTTTATGCTTATTTCTCTCTCTCTCGGGGTAATTTTCTTCTTGGCCTGTCATTTGGGGCCAATAATAAATTGGCTGTCTTACCCCGAGATAATTGTCCAGGGCTGGTGGGAATAGTAAACCTTCTGCCTTGTCTGTTAGCTTTTCGGAAGAGAGCCTTCTCTAGTCAGATTCTCTCATACCTGGCCATCTGCACAGGTGCACCTTAAGAAGCCTGGCTTTTTAACTACAGAAAGCGTGCCTGGAGCAGTATATTCAAGCCCCTGCTTCTAAGCAGTTTTCTGAAGTATTCCTCCATCACCACCAGAAGACAAGCACACTCTGGTATTACACATGAAGAAAGGATGAGAGGCAACATATTTAGAGGTATGTGTGAGGCTGAGGAGAAATGGTTAAAACTTTCACATTCTTGCTGGTGTCTTTGCTACATGCCTTTGTTGTAAGGCAGGTTAAGTTGCTCTCTAGTTGAAGTTTTAAGGTCATAGAGCCCCCTCTTCTTTCTAAAACTTCACATAGCATGTCTTACTGCAGGGCTGATTCTGTGTGTGTGCGTGATAGAGAGAGAGAGAGAGAGAGAGAGAGAGAGGCTGCTGACAAATTATTGTGCCAGCGCTGCAGTCTGATAGCCTCAGCCTCCATGCAGGTTTAGGTAGCATTACAGAACTAGGGAAGAGGTGCACAGACTTTGATTCCTCGTCAGGATTATATAATCTTCCTCCAAGTTTCTCAAGGAGCATTTGGGGCTTTTTTTAAAGCATGTGTTAAATCTGTCACGTTGGTGCAAATGGGTAGAATTGCTCAGTTTGCTGAAGAGATTATAGGAGAACCTTTTCTGCTCACTTCATAAAAGCAGGTCCCATTAAGCACCGTGTGAAATATTAGCCATTAATCAGCCTCTGCGCAGAATAAACTATCCATACTTATCATTATCTGATCCTTAATGAAGCGGTAATAGGAATGCCGTGGAGCAGGGATATTAATGTCTCCTAAGAGGCCCAAGCGATGGTAAGGCTAGAAGCCAAGATTTTTAATTCAGTTCCAAAAGCTTCCATAGTTAATAAGGTTGCTACTTATCCCAACCATTAGCACTTGTTTGGCCACAAGTGTTGCTATTACAAAAATGAGCTCAGCCCTCAGGAAGTGCTTTGCCAGCTGTTACATTGCTCATCCTCTTTTCTGTCTGACTACATACTTCCTGGGGCTGAATGTGTGCCTGGTTGGCATCCCCATTCAAGCCACTCCTTGCTTTGCTTTCTTTTTAGGCCTAGATACGATGCCAGCCATCCAGCCACACTGAGAACCGTTTCAGAATGTAAGCTACAACTCTCTATGCTGTAATACAGTCATAACCTCGGTTTGTGAACATGATCCGTGCGGGAAGCAGGTTCACAACCCACAGCGTTCGCAGCCTGAAGCGCTGTGTCTGTAAGCATGCATGATGTGCGTCTGTGCATGATGTCATTTTGTGTTTCTGCGCATGCACGAGCGCGAAAACCCGGAAGTAACCCGTTCCAGTACTTCTGGGTTTGGCACAGTCCGCAACCTGGAAACACGCAACCCGCAGCGTTCGTAACCCGAGGTATGACTGTAATACTTTTATTATTTATATACCGCCCATCTGACTGGTTGCCCCAGCCATTCTGGGTGGCTTCCAACAAAATATTAAAACACAAAACCCCCCTGAAACAATTAAAATCTCCCAGTATAGGTCTGCCTTCAGATGTTACATGCGACCCACACTTCTCATCCACCACTATCTTACATTCTGGCCATAAAAGCTAAAGATACGCTTCTAATATTCTTCCATGCCCACAAAGTCAGCTTTAGCAAGGGCCAACGAGGTGTCTTCCGCTCCTGGGACTTACTTAGCAGTGTGAAAGATTTTGGCTGGAGTCTGACAATGGTTTTTCAAATGGGTGAAGGTGATAGAAGAGAGAGAGAGAGAGAGCCATTATTGTGCTCTGGTCAAAGCAGTTTTGCAGATTTTTGAAGCTTGACAAAACTTATCAAAAACTATTTGCATCATAGTGAGAGGAGAGTGTCACACAGGTATGGAGGACTCCATCATTCCAGAATGGAAAAAATGCTGGCTTCTTCAGGAAGCCAGAAGCAAAGTTCAGCCTGTTACCTATTTGTCTTTTCCCTTCCATAATTGTAGGTTCCCAAACTGCTCTCCCAGTCCACTTGAAAATTGTATTGGTAGAGAACTTAATTGTGTTTTTTCTCCATTGTAGAAATAGTACTGTGCTGTGCTAGATGCTGCGTAGTTTTTACTTGTATTTTTGGACACACCGTGGGCTACCCGCATGAAACTCCTGGATCACCAGCTGTTCATGGGCCAGTTGAGGAATCCTTTCCTTGGGATATACTTATCTCCTCCCTTGCTGGGCTGGTTTGGAACAAATCATAGAATTCTAGAGTTGGAAGGGACCCCAAGGGCAGTGTTAGAAACTGAGATATGAAAGCTAGGGGTTAAATGGCACCTTAAACGTAGCTTATGGGCGCAACAATGGAATGTCTAGGTGTACTTTTTTTATAACAAGAATACAAAGATGAAAATGAATGAACTGCAGCTAAAATACTATGTTCATTTTTCACACTGTCTAGTCCTTCTCCTGCCCACCCCCTAATATTCATAAGAGGGCCACTTCTCCAGTCTTCAGAGAGTAGCTGGAAGTGGGGAGGCAGAAAAAGGTCCTCCTTTCCTTCTACTCTGCAGTTTTATTCTGAAATCTTAGGTGAAGTACTGTGCCCAAAGCTCAGAAACTGCTCTTGCTAATGAAATTCCCTGTCGCAAAATGCGCCATGGGAGTTTCGAACACTGCCAAGGGTCATTTAGTCCAACACCCTACAATGCAGGAATTCTGCTCATAGCTGTCCCTGGGTAGGCTCAAACCACCAACCTTCTGGTTAACAGCCAGATGCATTGACCCACTGAGCCACAGGAGGGCTCTTATGATAATACTCTTATGATAGCTAAAGTAGGCAACATGACCTGCTTCATTCACATGGCCACAAGCACAAATGAACGGTGGGCATTCTTCTAATCTCTGTGTTACGTATATACACACACATTCTCTCTCTTTTACTGGGGCATCTACATGTCTGTTAGTGAATCACTTCCCAAGAGGCATCCTGAAGCAATGGCCATTCTTGATGTTAATTTCCTCGTTGCAGGAGCTATATAAAAGTGCTGTTAGTCCCTGTTACACTGGAGGCAAATGAAGGCCTCAACAACACCTCCCTCCTGGATTAATACTCCTGGAAGCTCTGTGGTGCTGACTGCTTGGGTACATGATTTTAAATGTTTGATAGTGTACTAAAATATTTTCGTCGTTGTTGCTTACATAGACCTGACCATCCCTCACAAAATATGTTTTGGCATATGATGGTATTAGGTACAGCGTGTGTTCAGAAGCCTGCTCTTTCCCTCTTTCACCCACTGCCCCAAAGGAAAAAACCCCCGCTGGTGGTTGTTATGGGACGACTGTAGCTATCAAGTTCTAAGAGATGTTTGCTTTATTGTCTGTATTTTGCATGGCCTTCCAGTGAGTGTTAAGTGCCATGCACACATCACACACACACACACACACACAAGGAGAGAGAGAGAGAGAGAGCGTGTACATTGGAAAAGTGAAAGTGTTCTTGCAGCCTCGTTGTCCTTGACCAACTTCCCCCATTCCTGCCGTTGCCTCATTAAAGAAAAGGAAGCTGGAAGATAAAAAGTATCCAGGGAGAAAAAGGAACCAACTGAACACTGATGTGAAGTGTGCTTCAAAAAGCAGCCTCCTTTCATCTAACCGTTGTTTAATGCGCCTTTTCCCTTTAACAAGAGGAATTTATTTTAATCATCACTGAAACGTTCCATTAAAAAGAAGAAAAAGACAACAACAGCAGCAGCAGAGGGATGTTGCTAGTGAAATCTATGCAGACTTAACAGCTCAGGGATTACCCTAGAGAAGTGAATGCTGCAAAAGCTTTGTGAACCTGTCTGAGAACGAGAGCAAGCAGCATCTTCAAGGATTAATGAAGAACTCTGCCGATATAAAAGAAATTGTTTCTTTTCTGGGGCCGCTGCTGTGGGAGATGCAGAAAGCATGGCGAGGCCAGATAATCAGTCGGCTCAGACCCTCCTTTTTCAGGGAGGCAGATTTTGGTAAGCTTAAATGCTTCGGAGTGATTTCAACAAAAAACCCTTAATTTTTTTTCCTTCCCCAAAAACACAAGCTGCGCAATCACAATTATTTCTTAGCAAAAAGCTCACATTTTATTTGCCATTAGACACCTGCATGATGCTAAATCGTTCAGATGTGCTATGCTTTCTCTGCAGCTAAATATACTAGTACCAAGAAGGAAAAACACATTTGCCCTTGGTACTTCAAAATGTTCCAAATAAACCAGGTTAACACATATCCATTAGGAATACTCTGAGCTCTCCCAGGCTCACAACCTGCAAGGATCACGCACCCTGTCCCACATGCCAGAAGGATTGCTCTGGCTACATGCGTCGTGAGCCATTCTCATAATCTAGCTAAATGTGCCACTTGATTGTAAACCTCAACGTTAAAACCAAGCAGCTTCCCTTTTTACTGTGATCTCCAAGCTATGGGGATTTCTTTGAAGAAATCAAGTTTGAAGTTCTTCTCCCCGTATTCTGTCCATATGGAATTCATGTGATACACAACCTCTTGGGATGCTTCCCCACTCTTACAAGGGCACTCTAAATCCTGTTGGGATTCAGTCTTACATCTTGTCCTTTCATGCACTAAACCACAGAAGCAGCCTCCAATTGAGATACCTATCTGCATGCCTTTGATGCAAAGAACTTCCTCCCTGTAAGTATTCCCATAATGCAGGGTGGCCTAACTTTTAATGCCAACTGGGCCACAAGAGTAGTTTGATATAGAACCCAAAAGCCACACACTGCTTTGTTGTGCGGTGCAGGGGGCAGGGAGCAGCAAGACCAAAAATTGATGCCCCCACAGCGCTCATGCTGCCTTCCCAAAGCCATTTAAGCAAGGAGCTGAGCTTTGGGAAGGAGGCTTGAGGCTCTGACAGGGTCCTAGAGCCCTCCCACCTCCTTCCCAAAGTTGGGACAGCGCTAACTAGCTTTGGGAAGAAGGGACGACTCTAGGACCCTATCCTAGCGCCTCCTTACCTGGCTTTGGGAAGGCAGTGCAAGGGCTGTGGGGCAGTGCTGTCCAAGGTTGCGGGGGGGGGGGGGCACAAAAACGGCCTTGAGGGATGCATGCAGCCCTTGGGCCACGTGTTGGAGCACCCTTCCATAATGGTAAAGCTTTTCTGCCTACAAGCCTTCTTAAGCTGACTCTGCCACACACAGATGTCCATGCTGAAATGCAAGCTGAACTTCTGGCTGGGGTGGGATTACTAACCTCCGGTATAAAATAAACCTGATCATGCTCCCTTATTTAATGCTACCTTAGCAAGAAACCAATGTTTTTACCCTGCTGTTTTACATATTGTAAACAATTATCAACCTTGTTTAAATGTATCCTTTTCTAAACTGGCTGGATTTTGTCAGACTAAGTCACCCAAGAACTGAGTGGGAAGATATAATATAGTGTGTGGGGAGTACCTTTCAGACATTTGCACAACTGTGTGGAAATATTTTCATGAACACCACCCATGCAGCTGGGTTTTAACAACCTAACCATGCTCAGAAAGCCAAAAGTCTTTTTTTATCAGAGGTGGCAGATATAGATTTCAATAGGTGGTAGCAAACAATGATTTGGAAGTGTTTTAGAATGAGTAGTAAAGTTGGAGTAACTAAGACAATGATCCTCAGCATTTTCATGTGTAGACTAAGTGACACTAGGGTCATTTTGGGTCTTGCTTCCAAGTAAATATGCTGAGGAATGGGTTGCAGTACTAATTTATCAACCACGCTGGGGAAAGGGATCACACAGGAGCAAAATCCAGGTCTATGACAATGACCCATTCACATAACCCCCATTATGTGACAAAATATGATGAAAGACTGGTTTTGTTCATTGTTTTGTTCAAGTGGACACGCAAACTTGGCTGGCGACACTCGAATAATGGCCTGCATTTTGCAGCGCAGCAAATTGGGATCAGGACGGTTGCCTCTGCAGGCTTTCTTGCTTTTGTTCTGTGGGATTAGAGGAGTTAATCAGAGCGACAGTGACTTCTGACTTTATACTGTTAAAAAGGTCACAAACTTGAGGCTGCATTGTTTTTTCTGGCCAGCATGCGAAACAATACATGGGAGAGCTTGCAGCATTCATGTAGCACAGTGCATTCCGCCATGAAATATCAACCAGGAAGAAAATGCCATCTCAAAAGGGTGAGCAAAAGGTCACAGGGTCAGGTTACATTTGTGCTGGTACATCTGGACTATTCATCATGCCATTCTTCCCATAACAGGTGATGACACTCTCCCACTTCAATGTTAGTAATGGCTCCAAGATCAATAGCTAAAATGCATATGCTCCCTGAATCTGGTCAATTAGATTCTCAGTTCCAAGCTCTTGTCAAGGACCCAGAGGCTGGGCTGTGGAAACTTCTGACTGTCAGATCCAGGCTGGGGAAACTTAACACAGTAGGCTAACCTACTGACACTCCCATGCAGGGAATCCTAAGAAAAATGCTTATTTGGGAAATGCAAAACAAAGCCAAGCATACTACAAAATAAAGGAACACAGGAGAATGTGTCCCACCTCATTACACCGATTTTGCTTTAGTGATGGTAAATACAACAAATTCAGGGCCAAATGCATGAAATTAAGAAGTTATAATATATCAACATCACTAAATTGAAATGCTTTCTTCTTCAGTTTCAAAAGGCTTGTGTCTATAGTCACAAGTTGCTCAGTTGTCATGCAAAATGTGAAGACAAAAAGTCAGAGGTAATCCCTTTTGTAGAAAGAACTTCATAACCATATGAGTTAACTGGCAAATATATTTTATTTTATAATGGGCAGTGCATTAGACATGGGTCACTGTGAGAAAGGGAGAATGAAAGGCAGTTTTCCAGTTAAAAAAAAGAAGGTATCACTCAGTAGGTGGTGTCTGGGTAGGATGTTTAGCCTACAGCAGACTTAAACAGATGTGGAATCTATAGTACATATAGGAAACAGAAGACAGATCTGATACAGTGATCCTTTTTCTGCTAACCTCTTCTTTCAGTCCGTCTTTTTTGGAGTGGGGAGTGTTCCTAATGGAAGTACTATAAGGCTGGTGTATTTTTTTCTCCTGTTCTGGGAGTGTTCAGGGGAATGGGAGGGCAGTTCCAAAGCCTTTCCCAACCCCAGTCCCAGAATGCTCCCTTTTTTGGCCTCTCCATCAGAGCACTGGTGGCAGAAGAGCAGACCCTTCCGTGGTGGCTGGGATGGGAGTGTGGAGTATCTGCAGAATCCTATGGCAAGGTCTCACTACTGCCAGCAACTGTGCTGCAGTGTCCTTCACTAACTGTAGCTTCTGGATCAAATGCAAGGGACGCTCCACACAGAGTGCATTTATCCAATTAAAGCACTTATCCTCTTTTAAAAAATCAATTAAAAGATACTTTAAAAAAAACCTATCAGGAAAAAAAATTACGATAGTAGTCTTAAACCAGGAGGTGCTAATGCAACCTTAATATCCAGGATTATGATTATCTTTTGCCTTGGAAACATCTACCATGTGTCTAATTGCAACTTTTGGAATCTGACATTGACAGTCTGGGCAGGAAGGCTCCCTGTTTCATGCAGCCTAGACTTGCCCATAGTTCTTCCTTTGTAGTAAGAAGAATCTGAACGTCTGGTGCATCGCTAACCACCTTTAGCTCTGATTAAAATAGCATGAACGTCCATGACATTTGTGCCTGTCAGGCCCGTCATCAAAAGGTGGCGCCCTTTTTGGAACTCGGTGAAGAATGTGTATGAATCATTATTGCTCAGAAAAGTTTCCACGTTGAAGCCTTCCTGCTCAGCCTCACGCACCAGCTCCTGGCTGCTGAAGGCCCCGGCAGCCTCTGTCGGCCCATCTTGCCCGTCAGTTCCGCCACTCAGGAACATGATTTCGTATTTCTCCAGAAAGCTGCCGGCCTCCGTGGACTTGGCTCTGTGCAGCTCCAAAGCCACTCGCAGAGCCAGCTCTTGGTTCCGTCCCCCCTTCCCACTTCCTCGAAGCTGCACGGTGGTTTCTCCCCCGGCCAGAAGGCAAACGGGTCTTCCTGCTTGGGATTCTTGCAAAGCTTTCAAAGCGTGTGTACAGTTCAAGCCTGGGATCGCCAGCTGGGCTTCCAGGCCGGAGAGTGCTGCTTCCACCTTGTCTTTCAAAAGGTCGGTCCGGGCACCTCTCGCAGTGCTCAGGCAAATGAGCTGAATCAACAGGCTGTAGAGACGAGCCACTGTGCTGACCTCCCCACACACCGCGTCACTCAGAACCAGGGTTAAGTAACCCAGCTCCTCTGCCTGGCACCGGGCTTCCTCCAAAGCTAACCTGTTTGAGCCAATGACAACGTTGAAGACGTGGGAATAGTCTTTGGGAGTGTTATGCCCCGTGGCAGAGCCAGACAGCACGGTCTGCACCGACTGTGGCAAGGTGTCCAGCATATTATATCTGGTCAATATGTGAAAACAGTCCTGGGTGCTGTGGGAACTGGCAACAGTGGGGCCGCTTGCAATAATGTCCAAAGGATCCCCAATGACATCAGAGAGGATGAGGCTCAATACCTAGAAGCAAGAAGGGCAGGAATGGCTCATTAACATTCCACTGTGCCTGCTCTGAATTTGAGTCTTAACTGCAAGAGGAGAAGGAGGAGGGTGTGATCCTCCATGCATGCTGATCACACGGGGACTGCAAGATCGTGCGATGACTTGCACAGGGTGAAACAGCCCACAGAGGGGGCTTACCATCCCCTCATAACACTTCGGGAGCAACTGGTTTCAAAGCAGGCACTTTCTAGATTCAGCTGTAAGTCAAAGAGCCTGCAATGCTAACCAAACGACGCAGAAAGCCAACGCTGCTGAACTCCATAGGATTTATGCTGAGGATTAGGGCTGCAATGTTTAAATAGATTCATGCGTATTTATAAAAACCGCAGATAGCAAGCACCGTCTTTGAAACAAGGCATTTCTCCCTTTAGAGGGAATGCTTCCGAGATGACGCCTGCTGCAGCACGTGTGCATTGCCTAAATACAAAGTATACTTGAGAGCTGTGCGCAGATGAACGTAATAGATTAATTTGGCATTTCTCAACCTGGAGGCCACAGCACTGTTTCAGATGGGCTGCCCTGTCCCCATCCCTCCCAGGAAGTTGGAGGCACTGCCATAAGCTGGCTGCCTTTCTCCGCTTACCACTGCAGCTGCACCAAGGGAGGGAGGCGAGGGGAAGCAAATGGCTGGAGCTACGTTATCATCAAGCATCCTTACTGACCAAGGAGCAGCCAACAGCCTCTTTCTCCTCCTCCTGGCCCAGGTGGAAGACAGATATTGCCAGCAGCTGCTGCTCCAGTCCAGCAGTCACTATGGAGTGGGACAAGCTTCTTCTTTATCATCACCCTTGGCTAACATGCTGCTCCTGCAGGACTGCTTGCCCCCCAGGACTTTACTCTCCAGGGGAGCTGGACCCAAAGGCAATGCCTTTTGTATCCCACTGTTGCTGCTGTAGGAGGAAGTGTTTAACAGTGTTGGTATCAAGGCATAGGCTGTGCAAGTACCAGCAGTGGCAGTGAGTCCTGCAGAAGCAGGCATCACAGCAGCAGAGGGTGAGGGGGGAAAGGAGGCAGCGAGAAAGCTAGATGAGGAGGAGAAGGGCTTCTCGGTATGTAGAAAGACTCTTGATCAGGGTTCATCCTATTAAAACCAATGTCTACAATCATTCACATTCATTTATCCTGCATGTCTTCCGCAAAAAATAGAAGTGAATGATCCAGCCATGTCTTTAAACACTGCACTGAATGCATCAGCCGTGCCACTGGTGAGCAACTGCATTTGAAAATGACTCCAAGAGTAGCAATCTCTTTCCCACCACTCAGACAGAATTGATTTCTGCCCTTCGCTTTTCTTTGAGAAACAGCTGACCCTTCCCAGTCCATGATTAAAAAAACATATATTAATGTGTAAGACTTCTGGAGTTGTTAAATATTAAAAGTATTCTACCCTCCCTGCCTCTTACCCCCAACCAACTATGTGCAAATTGTGTGAAATGTGAATTAAGAACTAGGCATATACCTAATTAATTCGCATAATCCACAACTGCTGTATAAATTGGGATTTTGATTGGATACTTTGGGATTTTAAGCACAGAATTCCATTATCCTGCTAAAGTGGTCTGTTCAATAAAGAGACCCTAATCTATTGCTTCTTTTGCATTCATTCATTTAAAAATGAAACTTGAGAGCTCTCATGGTTAGGCAAAGGCAGTGTAAAAAAATATGGAAGAATCCTCTGGTAATGGCTTCAGAGCTTTAAAAAAAAAGGTTTCACCAAGGTTGGGCTTCTACTAATTTCTAGAGGGGCACATTTTTTAGGGATTGGGAGACAACATGGTACCCTCCAATTGCTGCTGGACTACATCTCCCATCACCCCTGACCTTAGGGCATGAGGACTTCAACTGATTGGAAGTTGGGAGTCCAGCAACGTCTGAAAGGTACCACGTTAGCTTGTCCTACTTTAGTGGCTTTTAAATACCCTGTTGCCTTTCCATTTCCCCACCATCCTCCTTCCTTTCCAAGCTCAGCCTCACTTCTGCACAAAGGGAAAGGGGAAAATAGAAGAAAAGAAAAGCAGACATATTTTAAAAAGACTTCCTCTTCAATTTGTGTGTGTGATTACATAGTTCATTCTGGGCGTGTTATTTGGGGTTTACCCCTTCACTGTCCCCACAGTCTTGAGCGCAATCCGGAAGCAGATCTCTCATGAGTGCTAAGCAGACAGATGTTGGTCATCTTTGAAGGTCAGTAGCCCACCATTCCTCAGATGCTTTTTGGCTACCTGCCATCTTCTCTTCAGCTTCACTGAAACTGAGCTGACCAAGTTTATGCTCACTGATGTCAAGGAGGGCAAAACAGCAACATAAACAGCAAACAAACAACTTGCCCACTCCTTCTGCACTTCAAGTCTATCCATGCCACCCACATCTGACCTAGAGTTACAAAAGATGCTCCTTTCTAAATGTTCACAGAGTTGCTGGGCAAAGTCAGACAGCATCTCATACCCACCTGGGCAGGATAGGCAGCCCGTGCCAACCCCCCACCTTTCAACAAGGAGAGGGCCTTTCGGATGGTGTTCAGCTCGTGAATGGTAGCTCCCTTTGAAGCAAGTAACCTGGTGATGGTTTCCTTCTCTTCCAGGGTGACTGGTGGGATGGGCGCAGGTAAAAGTGCCGACCCTCCTCCTAAAATTCAGGAGAACTTCACAGTCAGTACATCTTTACACAGCGGGGCTCCTTCTCATGACCACACACAGAGCAGTCCTGTATCAGAAAGAGAGCAATGGGAGACATTTTGCAGACAGCTTTCCCCTTTCCCTTGCACTGGAAGCATATTTTTTTCCTAATTCTTTTTCAGCTGCTCGCATAGCTTATTGGAATGACAACTGGGAGTGCTTTTTACCAAGTGGCTGAAGCAGAGATTCGCATAAAGACTCCTGAATGCATTAGTCCTCCTTCTCGAGCATACATCACATCACTGTTTCATCAACGACTCAGTACAGTTCTGAACCTGTAAAATCATAGCATAAGTAACTCCAGCAACTAATGGAGAAACTGTAAAAGACTGGACAGGCTCTTTGTCCTTCAGCTGATATCAAAGGAAGGTGTTTAAATATGAATGTCAAGACAATCAGTTTTGTAATGTGTAAGAAAGGAAAGGGTTTGGGAAATGATGGCGGTAGCAATATAGTCTGAAGGACAGAGGGATCACTATGGTGAGTGGTGACTGACAGGAATCTGCAGAAAGATTGTCTGGGGGGAACAGGAGTGCGCAGCGGGGGAGAAACAGGAAAGAAGAGAAAGTGAATGAGAAACAAAATTGCTGCTTTCAGGGATAAGGAACAAGGAGGCAGAGGCTGAAAGTGAATGGGAAAAGAAAAAGGAGGGAGATACAGCAACACTGGTATAACAAAGGTGGGGGGGGGAGGCTGGAATGAGAGAAGAAGTCAAGGATCAAAAAGAGAAGACAAAAACGGTGATGGATGATACAGGTCACTGTGAAGAGGAGTCTTCCAATGAGACAAACGGGAACCTTCATTCAAAAGTGTGATGGAAAGAAATCTAACATTTGTAACACCACCAGAAAAAAGATGAGCCTTCTCCACGTATTCTTAGAGGCCTCTTTGGATATCTTAAGCCACTGCTGACCTGGAATCTGTAGAGGACTTTCCAATGCATAGGCCACCATCTCCTGTCACTCAGCCAAAATATGTGGCAGGAGGGGGGAAAGACTGAGGAAGACAGCTGGAAGGCAAAAGGATTTGGGGTGTCCTAGGTCCCAGAGATGATGAGGCATGTTTTAGTGATGAATAGAAGTCAGCAAAAGCATTCTAAAAGAGAACTTTTGTCTTTGGATTTGGGTTTTTTTTTTGTGTGTGGGAGGAGATGCAAAGCTGTTTTAAAGAAGCTGAACTGACCGTCTTTGAGGGAACTGGTTTGCTAAACAAGCGGCGAGAACATTTGCACAAACATATTGGTAAAAAGGATGGCGGGAGTGTCCACATCTCTGACTTCCTTTGTAGCCACGAGCAGGGCTCATTTCCTGTGCTGCCACCTTTCCATTTCTGTCTCTGTAAGTCAGGTGGAAATAAACGGTGGCCCTCCAGATGTTGTTGGACTCCAACCCCGAGCAACATCTGGAAGGCCAAAAGTTAGCCAACCATGAGGCAAACCAAGGCAGCCAAGCACCACCATCTGCTGGCAATTCTTCAGTACCACCAGCTCCATATGATCAGACGAGGATGGAGGAGGCCAGCTCAGCTATTAAGCTCAATGGGGGGACTTGGGCTAGTCACTCCCTCACCCTAACCTGTTGTGAGGATGAATGCGAGTGGGGAAGAATGAAGTCTGTTCCCCTCAGCTTCTTGGAGGAAAGGTAGGATATAAATGCTAGCAAGCCACACCAGATACCATTTTCTCCATGTCCCAGTAGATAGGAGGGGGCCCTGCTCTACATAGGTGTGGTTGCATCTTATTCTTGCCCCTTGCTTCTCTTTCAAGCCAGACCAAACGTAGTTCAGGAAAGACTTGAGAAAAGAAGAAGGATCCCAGACAAGGTTGTCAAACGTAAGGCCTGGGGGCTTTATTAGACTTCTTGTGGTCTTCAGCGTGGCCTGCGGCATCCCTACCACACTCCACACAAATTATTCATCCAAGACTCTGGGGCTAGGGAGTAACACTCCTGCCAGGGCAAGTGGCTGTTACCACATGCACTTTGCATCAGCCTCTTCCACTATTCCCTTTAAATTAGCAGCCCAGATGTCAGGGAGGGTGACGTGTACAGGAGAGTGCACACGCATGAAGCAGAACGGAGTGCAGAACGGACAGCTTGCTGGCATTTGCAGCTGAGAAGCAAGGGTGCGGAATAGGCAGCAGTGGCCCACAGAGAAATTTGCAGAAAAGGAGTCGAGTGACAACAAGGATATTTAGACAGGCAAGGTGGCAGGGGGGTGGGTCTTAGAAAAGGGTTGCTGGGTGCTGAAGTCTGGTTTAAGGAATTCCAACTGGGGGCAGTGCTTGCAAAGAGATTTTGTTATGCAAGATGGAGTGGGAAGGAAACTGGTGCTAGACGGCAGGCAGTATTTTTAGAAGTTAATCAGCAGACCTGCTACTCCCCGTGCATTAGAGTAGGGATGGTTATGGCTCCTGGGAACCTGACGGAGGGTAGAGAGCTTTGCCCTGTAATCTGTTTGAATTTGCCACCCCTGATTTACAGAAGGAAGCAGTTTGCCAGGAGAGAACGAGCAAAAGTAACACTATCGCATCGCAGAGCAATCTTTGTTGCTTTATTGACCTCGTTCATAGCGAAGAGTGCTTAAAAAACAGCACCAGGCTATGCAAAATAGAGAAATGAAGTGAACTGCAGATAAAAGCTTGTGGCAAGTGACACAAGGGGATGGGAAAGGGAGGAAAGAAAAATAGCTCAAGCACCAGACGTATTTGCAGCCCGCGTGACGGATGTGCGATCACAACTAACAGGACAACCACAGAGAGATATGATCAAGAGGATTGTGAAAAGAGTAGAGGGCAATCTTGTACCGGAGGCAGCTCAAAAAGCTACCATTAAATGATAAATGCTCTGAGATTTGAGACACAACATCTGGCAAATATGACAAACCAGAGAAACAACTAAGTAGGCATGACATTTCTTCAGTCACCAGCAATCCAGTCAAGAGTAGCCAGAGGAGGGAGTGTTCTCTTAAATGGGAGTTTTTGAACCAGCTTCCAAAAACACAGAGCTGGCTACAGTAGGCTTTGAGGGTCTAGAACTCTTGCCAATAAAAAGGTAGCCAAAGGGCAAGGAGAATCCCATCATACAACACTTTCATTCAGGTAGATCCATTTTTGGATGGTAGAATCCTCTCTCCCAAGCATGGCAGATTGCTTGTACACTGTGAAATGGAGGGACCCAGCTGCCAGGGACCCACAGTGGATAATGAAGTATTTAGCTCCCTGTTGAGTTGATTATGGAAACACTGAGGGATGGTCATGGGAACATTTGTATGAATTTGTATGTATAAATGTATGTATGTACATATGTATAAAATGCATGTATTTTCCATGGTAAGAATCAGTGGATGTTTCTGCACATGAGCAGTGAGAATATTTTGGAGACCACATTCTCCCCACTAAGTTCCCTAACAATTGCTCTGGTCGAACCTGCACATATTAAAATATTATCAGGCGTCCAGGCCAGTATTCTTAGCTGGTGCCTCCCAGAACTGGAAGTTCTTCCTCCTGCAAGCCCACAAATCTCTGACCTAGTGTATTCATACTTTTCTGTGTTAAGGAAATACTGGATTTTATGTTTGCGTTGTGTGGATATCTGTGCTTTACTACTTTTTATATTGCTGATTTTTTACCTGCCCTAATCTTTAATACAGTGGTACCTCTGGTTACGAACGCTTCCAGTTACGAACCCTTCAGGTTATGAGCTCTGCTAACCCAGAAGTAGCTGCTCCTGGTTGCAAACTTTGCCAAAGGATGCGAACGGAAATCATGCGCCGGAGGCACGCGCGCAGCGGGAGGCCCCATTAGCAAAAGCGCACTTCCGGATAAGAACGGTTTCAGCTTAAGAACGGCCCTCCGGAACGAATTAGGTTCATAACCAGAGGTACCAATGTAATAGCATATAGCAGACATCAGTGCTTAAAATAAATAACTTACTGCACTAGTACTGTATCAAGTATGTACAGCTATACAAATTTAGCTGAAATGCATTCTGAATGATGCACAGATAAATTGCTTCTTGTTCTATCCTTCTTTTGCCCCTGCTCATCCATTTCTGTACCAGCTTTGCATTACCACAAATTTGGCATCCATAACAGTGGCAGACACAGTAGGCGTAGGTCTACACTCTGAAAACGTTCATACGGGGAAAGCAGGTATAGCAGTTCTTCTGAACCATATAAGATTTTAAAGGTCAAAACTAGCTCTTTGAATTGCACCCAGAAAAAACAACAACCACCTGGCAGTCAGTGCAGCTGAGACAGAATCAGTGCAATATGCTCATGCCCTCCTAGTTACCAATTTCGCTGCTGCATTCTGCACTAGCTGTAGCTTCTGAACCATCTTCAAAGGCAGCTCTGTGTACAATACACTGCAGTAGTCGAACCTGGAGGTTGTCAGAGCGTACACAGCATAAGCCAGGCTACTCTCATTCACATAGTGTCACAGCTAGCAGAAGACGCTGCACACCACTAAGGCCAATTGTCCCTCCAATGACAGTGCTGGATCCAAAAATAACTCAGGGCTGCACATCTGTTCCTTTAAGGGAAATGTAACCTCATAAACAACTGGATGCATTCCACTCATCGAGACAGAGGAAGTGTCCACCAACAGACTTATCTGGATTGAGCTTCGGTTTGCTGGCTCTCATCGAGTCCATTACCAAGACCAGCACATCCACTGCCACACCTACCGGGGGGGTGGGGAGCAGAATTGCATGTCATCAGCATGGGGACAACAGCATGGGGGGATAAAAGCAAACCATGTAAAACTCACATCGGAGGCTTCATGGGTCTGAAAAATATCCCCCAAGCACCAATTCCTGAAGCTGGCCATCCAAGCCGCTCCCCTGGCTTCCAACTCAGAGACACTAAGGAAGCCATAGTTAATGGAATCAAAAACTGTCAGGAAATCAAGGAGTCGACATGGACACACTCCCCCCGCCTCCCTCCCAAATGTAGGGGAACCTACAGGCAACCAAGGCAGTTTCAGTGCCAAAACCAAGTCTGAACCTTGTATGAAACCGACCTAGGAAACCAGTGTCATTCAAGATACGACTGAAGTGCCAAGCACAACTTCTTAGGCCAGCTTCCATCTACAGGGCAGTAACACAATATGTGAGTGAATCACAGAATTGCAGAGTTGAAAGGGACCCCGAGGGTCATCTACTCCAACCCCCTGAAATGCAGGAATCCTCCCCACAGCCATCCCTGTTTGGGCTCAAACCACCAACCTGGTTAACAGCCAGACCCACTGCACCACACTCAGCATGCAGCAATACAACAATCCATATAATATGAAAAAGCTAGTGTCTTCCTGTTCTGATATCACCTAAGCTCCTTGTCAAAAGGCAAGTTTCATGACAGCACACCAAATGCAAATAAAAATACAGAATATTTCATTTTCTTCTTAACTCGTTCAGAGCAGCTTCCAGACAACTTTCTTTAACCCTGCTCTATGTAGGCTCTGTGCCCCCTGCCAATTCCACAGCACTTTAGAAGAGCATTGCTTTTGCGTTTTCTGGTTCAGGGCTGCCATCTCCTGGAGAAAGCGTACCTTGCCACCTCAAAGTGCATGCGAGTGTTGTGAGAAACAGAGGCAAGAGTGGTGCTTTGAGAGAGCCAGGAAACATCAGTGCAAGAACAGAGATCTAACGCAGAGATTAATCGCCAAGTGAGACCCACAGATCTCAAACTACTTAACAAGAAAGGTGAGGCAGGAAGACTGAAAGAAAGAGAACAACTGATGAAGATCACACTGCAAAATCTATTTCAGCAGAGTAATTTATTGATGCAGAGAACTTAAAACTAAATGTTAGCATTCCACATTACGCTTTCGTCCACTCCAGCAGGCACCATCAGGATTCCCAAAATGCAGCTTTCCTTGAGATGGAGAAACAGAGACAGATGGCAGACAGGACTACCTGGGTCAACAGTGACACTGTTTCCAAAGCAAGCAGATAGAGGAGAGGAAAATGCAATTATCCTGCTTCTAGAAGAGCACATTTGAACACACAAGCTACGAAGCTGCCAGCAGCGTGGGAGTCACACTGGGGAACAACTCTGAGCCACTTTACGCTCCAGTTCTGCTTTCTTTGCACAGACAAATTGACCTAGTTTGTTAGGTAAGCTTGTGCAGTGGCTTCTTCCCTTCACAAGTGGGAGGAGAAAAAAATATATAAATCAGATCAGAAAAGGGGGAAAGAACAGTAAGGAAGCTAATGGAGGACAGGCTCTCTCTGCAAAACCCGAGTCCTGGTCCTGGAATCCCAAGGCATTACCTGAAATCAGCACCAGGAGAAGGTCCCCAGCTGTCAGGCCCTCAGCCAAATCCCGGATAGCGTTGGCTGCCTTCAGAGCTGCTCTGTCAGGAAGGTTGTGCTTAGCTCCTTCCATAACTTGGATGCGGCTCTGGGGCTTCAGCAACATTGCCCTGTAGGGGTTAACAAAAGATCAACAGGTTCTCTTCTGGCACAAGCTCGGCCTACCATTGAAAACCCCAGCAAACGAAGAGCTACAGGGCAGTTCCTTCTGAATGACTGTGAGATGCCATCATTTTAATAGATCCATTGCCCAGTAGGCTGACAGTTGCTCGGCTCTGAGGTCTGACAGTGTCATACCCTCAAGAGCTAGGAGGTCCTAATGAATGAAATTACAGCCTGATTCCAGCTGAACCACCAACCAGGGTGATCAAAAGCAGGACAAACATCATCACTGCCAGACTTAAGATGTGCATGCACATGTGACAAAAAAGCAACAGAGGGCAGTATCCACCTAAATAGGTCTGCTAGCACAAGCATTTTTAAACACTCAATCAAAATTCCTCCCCCTCTCCTTTTGAGCACCCCCTAAATATGTCCTGGGGGTTCTTCAACTCTCTAGATTTAGGGGGCACATAGGGAAAGGGGGGACTTCTGTTGTGCAGCCCAAAGTGCTGCTATTCAGGCATAACAATCCATTCTGCAGGGGCAAATGATTCCACAGCATTTCAGCTAAATGTGGCTGCTGTCTTGGATCTATCACAGATCTTGGATCTATCACAGATCTCTTTCCCTAGGAAATACAGTACTCTCGGAAGCCCTAACTAGCAAAACTGTAACACATCCCAAAAAAACAACAACAGCCCTTTAACAGCAAAACTAGGTAGGAGTTTAAAGTAGTTAGTCTACAGTAAGAAAAAAGTCTGGAAAATTTCTCTCTAAAGGATCTACAGTGCACAACCAAAATGGTAGCACGGACTGTTGTTTGTAACAGGGACATTCCTTTACTGTCTACTGTTTTAAAAAGCCTCTGGGCCTGGGTTTAGATGACAGATACTTCTGACAGAAAAGTGAAGACCAGATTGTTCAGTACACAACCAAGAGTGAGGAAGAAGTCATGTCAAGTCAGTAAGGGGGACCTTGAGGCTGCTCCCCCAGGCCTGGTTGTGTATTTAAATCACCCTCCAACAGGCCCTGCTTCCTCACACCCCGCTCTAGGATTGTTATTATTTTAAACAAAACGTGGACTAGAAATGCCCTTAACAAACCAATACCTCCTTCCTGTGTTCTGCAGAGTTTCTTGGATGCCTTGAGGAACACTAATTACTCCCTGGAAGAGGTAGTCTCCAAGGATGTCCTCTGCTGCAGCTGCCATGCCCAGAACAGCCTTCCCAAAGCCGACCAGATACAAGTTCCTCCTCAGTTCAAAAGGCCGACCGTGCAACACAAGCCTTGGACATTCGCCTGGCTCCAAGACCAGGGCCCTTTTCAGCATAGGCCCCGGCAGGACTCTGGCAACAGCGCTGCGGAATAAATGAAGCCCATGCTCCTGGAGGGCCATGTTGGGGGAAGCTGCCTCACGGGTGAAGCAAGAGGTGGAGCGCCAGCAAGCTCTGCCAACAACAGGCCAACCCTTAAAGAGAGAGGCCATGACCCAAGTTGTTAACCAGCTGCAGTTTTCCTGCAACAAGGGACAGGGAAAATTAATATTTTGAGCCGCACTATGAAATCAGGGGGCGGGAAAGAGACGGAGGACAGGTGGTGGGTTTCTCTCCACTCCTAACTTACCCATCTCACAGAAGCTCTGCATGTACTCTTGGCCTCAGCCTCCACAACTGAAAAACCTACTCACTACCCCCTGGGAAAGTCCAGAGGTCTTCTTGCCTAGCCAATTTGATGGATCAGGTGAGGAAGTTAATAATTTACGCAGCAGGGCTTGCTTGAAAGTCATTTGCCTTCCATTAGGTAACTAGACAAACTAGATGAGGCAAGTTAAGCAGAACGGTATATTTAGAAAAGGACAGTATACCAAACTGCCTTCTCCCACACCAAAAGCAGAGTGGGGTAGACTGGAAGGCTACGAAGCCAGTGCTCTGTGATGTTAGGGTTGCAAAGTAAGAAGCTGCAGTGACTAGCTAAGGAATGGAAAGGGTCGAGCTAGCCAGGGAGCTCAGACATTGGAGAATGAGGAAAAAAAACAAGGAACTTCAATGTCCTCACCCAGTTTTTATCTGTAACCACAACTACTCTACAGTAACATAATGCTGGGGCAGGAGGTAACTCAGCAGGGTCCAGAAGCCAAGAATCATGGTGATAGAACAATAGAGTCTTCCTACACTGAAGCAGGGGTGAGGAAACTGTGGCCCTCCAAATATTAATGGACTACAACTCCCACCGTTCTTGAGCATTGGCCATGCCAGCCGAGGCTGACAGGACTGGGAGCATGGGCAGATTTTGGTCTTTCAAATTTAAGTGGAGCCCTGTGCTAGGCCAAAATTTCATGTCCCTCTCTCTCCGCCTCTCGTTCTACTCATCATAGTTGCAATGCCCTGAAGCGCCCCCAATGCTCAGCGCCCAGTGTGGTGGAACCAGTTGCACTGCCCGAAATCCGCTTCCATTGGGAGTCCAACATCAGGAGGGTGGCAGGTTGCTTGCCCCTACAGCAGGGGTCAGCAAACGTTTTCAGCAGGGGACCCGTCCACTGTGCCTCAGACCTTGTGGGGGGGGGGCCAGACTATATTTTTGGGGGAGAAATGAATGAATTCCTATGTCCCACAAATAACCCAGAGATGCATTTTAAATAAAAGCACACATTCTACTCATGTGAAAACACCAGGCAGGCCCCACAAATAACCCAGAGATGCATTTTAAGTAAAAGGGCACATTCTACTCATGTAAAAACACGCTGATTCCCGGAACATCCGCGGGCCGGATTCAGAAGGCAATTGGGCCGCATCTGGCCCCCGGGCCTTAGTTTGCCTACCCATGCCCTACACTAAAGGGTGCCTTACAGAAGCAGATGAACCGTACTCCACCTCCTCCCCTTGCCTGAGTTGTAGTTTCCTTGTCAGGAGGGAACAATAGTTTTGTGTTTCTTTTGTAGTATCCATCCGTAAATGAAGAGGTTGAACAGGTGGCAAAAAGACAGGCCCTGCAAGCTGCTAAGCAACAGAAGCCTCCAAAGGCAAGAAAAGCACTCCACATTTTCCTCACCCAACATTGTCTGGCAATAAATTCCAAAAACTAGATTCCGCCCCAACCCAAAAAAGAAATTCGTAAGTGCATCCGATTTTTAAAAATAGCAGCCTCCAACCTGCACTTCAGGTACCTTGTGTACAGGGCAAAAGCACTGAGATATCATCCATAGACTGATGACACCCAATTCTGTCATCAAGCAATCTAGAAGCATCAGTGACAGTTCTTAAAACCAACGTCTGGAGGTCAGGGTTGAATGGATGGTGACTAAATTGAGACAAGGCAATTACTATTTTGGTGTGGGATTCTCAGTGCTCTGAGGAGGCAAAAATGCTTCAGATAGGAAGGGGGTGATACCGTTTCCTGACTGGGCTTGCGTGTGGCCGTGCTTCCTGACCCGGTATACCTCCTGGAATCTCAGGTTGCCGGTTTGGCAACAAGAGATTCCATCTGATATGTCAACTGAGCCCTCTCCTAGATACAGAGGATCTTGTCTATGTCACGTGTCCCTTTGTAACCTCCAGGACGGACAAGTACAACGTGCTTCACGTGCACTGCCCTTGAAGACTGTTTAGAAATTCAATTTATTGCACGAGTTGGGAGGTGTGTGTTCAACCAGTGCTGCCAAGTGCACCAACTAGCTGTGTATTCCCAAGGTATGGAAAACTGCCACACAAGGTCATACAAGGCTTTATAGGTTTAGAGCTATAAAGCCCTGTATGGTTCAGTTTCTCAGCTCCCACCAGTTGCTTGGAAGTGAAATGCATGGTCTTTGAAGTCCGCCTTAAAGCAATTTCAACACAAACTGTTTTGCAAAGAGACTTCAAAGGCAATGTGTCTTAGCATCCACCAGCTGATAGGCAGCGAGACCTCACTCTGAAGTCCATTTCCAAAGGGACCTCAAAGGCAAGCCCCTTTTCAAGCTGTCACCTGTTGTCACAAGACTGAGAGGTGGGTGTTGTTCCACAGTGGATGGGGGAAGGAAGGACCCTGCCGATCCCCACCTCTGGTTTAGACCTTTTATATCTTTTAGACTCAAGGCTAGCAAATGTGATAGCCTCCAGATATGCATAGCTGGACTCAGTCAATTTCCACCAGCGCGGAGGGATGATGTGTATTCCAGCAGCATCCTGAAGGCACTGCTTTGGGTGACACAGAAGACCAGGGAGCTTTATCAATCTGCTGGGGGAGGAAAGAGGTGGGAGCATCTCTTCCAGAACAAGCAGAAGACAAGATGCAAACCTCTCAAGGTGCTGAAGGAACCGGCCTGCTTCATTTCCAAAAAGCAACCCACAAGGCCTTTTACTAAGTAATGTCAGTAGAGAGGCACGTGCCTGTATTCAACCATTTTTACTCAGAGCAGCTCATTGAAATCAAGAGACCTAAATGAGCCATGGCCATTAAATGCAATGGGTCTACTCCAAATAAAAGTTAGCTGAAAACAACTGGACTCTGTCCTGAGGAGTTTTTGCAAACCAACTTGCAACAGTGGAAAAGACCACAGAAGAAGGGAAGGGAAGGGAAGGGAAGGGAAGGGAAGGGAAAGGACGAACAGGTGAGACAAAAGTATCAAGGGGCAAATGTCATGGAAGTCCCAGTGCATCAGCTTAGCCTTGTGATAATTTTGCTCCAAACTCTGGATGTGTGTGCTGTATTAGCTGTTTAAATCTACTGTTATCAGAGTGTACATTTGTGGTATTTAGTCAGCTGCTTTGGTCTGCAAAAGGAAAACCAGGCTATAAATATGGAAAACCCTCATTTGCTAGCAGACCGAAAATGAGCACAACTCACAGCCCCACTGACATTTTGCTGCGGGGAAGTGAATGGCACTTTCACAGCCGCCGCCCCTTTGCTTGCGTCTGCTACTGCTATTCCCTCATGAGCAAGAAAAGGAGCCATGGCAAAACTGAATTTAAGTTGCCTTGAAGAAAGGTTTGACTTTTTGGCAACAGCTCCAGCCAGGCCAGGCTGCAAACAAAGTTTCCTTGTTTTCCTGTTCCTTCATTTCCAACTTTGAAGCCTCTTTTTGGAACGTAGTCCAGAAGCCCTCATTAATCTTGGCGGAGATCTGCTGAGAATTGCTTCTTCCGTGACAGGATTGCTTGGGGATTGTGAAGGGCTTAGATTAATCTCCTTTAAATGAAAACTTCATAAGCTGCCATTAATGAATAATGGTCCTAATCTGCATATTAATTTGAATAAATCATTTTGATATGTTCTTCTGAATGTTGCTTCTGACTATGGCTTGAGCTCCACTATACAAGACTGGAGATACTTCCTACTTCCTTATTAAATCCACTGGAGGAGGTTTAAAGAGGTGTTCAAGTTAATTACAAATCGACGTACAAGCATATATTAACCGAAATGATTCACTGTACCTGGAATTGTATTATAATAATAATAATAATTTTTTATTTATACCCCGCCCTCCCCAGCCAAGGCCGGGCTCAGAGCGGCTTACAAGCAATAATAAAAACAAGATGAATGATTACAACTTAAAAACAAAAATAAAATACAACATTAAAATAATGGAACATTAAAATATTAAAATGTAGCCTCATCGCAGGAGGAGAAGGAAAAGAAAAAGGAAAGAGAGGGAGGGAGGGAATCAAATTGGCTCCAAGCCAAAGGCCAGGTGGAACAACTCTGTCTTACAGGCCCTGCGGAAAGAAATCAGATCCTGCAGGGCCCTGGTCTCATGAGGCAGAGCGTTCCACCAGACCAGAGCCAGAGTTGAAAAGGCCCTGGCTCTGGTTGAAGCCAATCTAACTTCCTTAGGGCCTGGGACCACAAGGGTGTTGTTATTTATGGACCTTGAGGCTCTCCGTGGGGCATACCAGGAGAGGCGGTCCCGTAGGTACGAGGGTCCTAGGCCGTGAAGGGCTTTAAAGGTCAAAAGCAGCACCTTAAATCTGACCCTGTACTCCACCGGGAGCCAGTGCAACTTGAAAAGCACTGGGTGAATATGCTCCCATGGCAGAGAATCCGTGAGGAGCCTCGCTGCAGCATTCTGTACCCGCTGGAGTTTCTGGGACAGCTTCAAGGGCAGCCCCGCGTAGAGCGAATTACAGTAGTCAAGCCTGGAGATGACCGTCGCATGGATCACTGTGGCCAGGTCGGGGCGGGAAAGGTAAGGGACCAACTGCTTGATGCGGCGAAGGTGGAAAAATGTCGCCTTGGCTGTTGCTGTAACTTGCGCCTCCATGGAAAGGGAGGGGTCAAGGATTACACCCAAACTCTTAACGGAAGGCAATGGCACTAATTGGGCCCCTGCAAGAGAAGGGAGTTGGTCCCTCATCCCCATGCCATCCCGACCTAGCCATAGGACCTCTGTCTTCGAAGGATTTAGTTTCAATCGGCTCCCACGAAACCATCCAGCCACAGCTTCCAAGCATCTGGTCAGTGTGTTTGGGGCCGAGTCTGTGTGGCCATCAATCAGCAGATAGAGTTGAGTGTCATCAGCATATTGGTGACAGCCCAGCCCAAAGCTCCGGATAATCTGGGCAAGGGGGCGCATAAAGATGTTAAAAAGCATCGGGGAGAGAATTGCGCCCTGCGGCACTCCACACACCAAGGAGTGGCGCGACGACATTTCCCTCCCTAGTGCCACCCTCTGTCCCCGACCAGAGATAAAAGAGCACAACCAGTTACGGGCTATGCCCTGTATCCCCACGTCTGCGAGGCGGTGCTCCAGAAGATCATGATCGACTATGTCAAAGGCTGCTGACAAATCTAAAAGGATCAGCAGTCCTGACCCGCCTTGATCCAGTTGTCTACGGAGATCATCTGTTAGGGCAACCAGAGCCGTCTCCGTCCCAAAACCAGGACGGAAACCGGACTGAAATGGATCTAATGCCGATGTTTCTTCCAGAAACCTACCAAGCTGTTCAGCAACCGCTCTCCCAATTACCTTACCCAGTTATGGAAGATTTGAAACTGGGCGGTAATTGGATAGGTCTAAGGGATCTAATGAAGTTTTCTTTAAGAGTGGACACACCACTGCTTCCTTCAGTTCCCCTGGGAATGTCCCTGTGTCAAGGGACAAATTGATAATTTCAACCAGGGGGGTCCGCACAACATCTGGACACTCCCTAATCAGCCAAGACGGGCACGGATCAAGGAGGCAGGTGGTGGGCCTACCAACTTGGAGAAATCCATCCACATCAGTAGGGAGTATCCGATCGAAATGGTCCAACACTGGACCTGAAGTCAGTCGAGGGGCCTCCAGTTCAGTCATTGTATCTAAATTGGAAGGGAGGCCACGGCGGAGCAACAGGACTTTCTCCGCAAAAAAGCTCGTGAATGCCTCACAGCTGTGGGTCAAATTTGTGCTTAAATTTGGTTGTCCTCCTAAGGACGTTATTGACCTAATTATTCTAAAAAGTTGTGCCGGGCGAGAGCTAGCGGATGCAATGGAAGCTGCAAAGTAAGATTTCTTAGCAGCTTTCATAGCCATCTCATAGGCTTTCATAAGCGTCCTATAAGATGTTCTTGAGGCTCCGTCATGAGTCCGTCGCCATACTCGCTCTAGCCATCTGAGATCCCGCTTCATTTTCTGGAGCTCCTCAGTAAACCAAGGGGCCCGGTTTCGACGGGGTCGCAGAGGGCGCTTAGGCGCGATCTCATCAATGGCTGCCAAGAGCCGGTTATTCCAGTCCTCAACAAGGTCATCTAATGAGTCGCCAGGAGGAGCAGGGTTCCGCAAGGCTTGTCGGAATCTATCAGGATCCATCAGTTTTCGCGGACGAGCCCAAATAGGTTCGCCACCCGAGCCAGGGAGGAGCGGGAAGTCAATCTTGGCTTTCAGAGCGTAGTGATCAGACCATGGCACTTCCAAAATATCTATATAATATCCATTAAATCACCAGAAAGAAACACAACATTCAATAATGAACACGGATTAGTCAACAGTATCTCCAAAATCAGTTTCTGGGCCACCAGTGCTGGTTGGAGAATTGTCTTTATCATGAGATGTCCTAGAAAAACTTCTCTCAACCTGGTACCCTCCAGATGTTTTGGACAAGAATTCCCATCATCTCCACCCAGCATGCCCAGTGGCCAAGGATGACGCTGGAAGGCAGCAGGCTGGGAAGGGCTGCCCCAGAATTATGTTTGGCTCTCAGCTATTGCCATTTCGGTGCAAAATGCATTTAGGCATGCTAAGTTCTGAGCCCCAACTGACAAGTCACATACAAATAAGGAACCTGTCCTATGACTCAAGGGCAATAGCCTTAAATCAGGGTAGGCAAACCGGTAGCCCTCCAGTTGGTTGTTGGCTCTCCCAACTACGATCATCCCCAGACAGCATGGCCAACCATTAGGCCATGCTAATGTAGTTCACCAACATCTGGAGAATCAGAGGTTTCTCCACCCTGCACTATATATTAGTAGTTTGGGACCCATTCGGAGACTGCTTTAGACTCCTAAATGGTGATCTTCATACAATTGGCTATTTGTACCTTTTCAAGGCAAAGCTGAGGGTGCATTGACAGGGTATCTGATCAGACAACATCTCTCTCAGAGACTCTTGCCTCAGAACACGATCTGGCTTCCTTGAGGAGTTTAAGTGAGGTGACAGGCCCATCTATGATGGCTGCTTTTTATGTACTGGTTGCCACTTGAAGCTGTGGTAATGTCGTAGTACACATATTGATCACATTACCTTTTTTTAGGTGTAGGTTTACAACCATGTACATACCACAATGTAAGATGTTACAATGGACCCTAAATATAAACCTCTGAAAAATTACAGGCCCCTGAAAACTGCCACCTGGTGATGAAAAGCAAGGAAGTCTGCAGAATTAATGTGAGGTAATGTAATCAGTATAGCTGGGCGGACTTAATTACAGGTTCACTCGCAGGGCATCGGGACCAGCAAAGGATGTAACCGATATGCAACCTTCTGTACCAAAGCTGCAACCTGAGATTCCAGGAGCTGCTGACATTGCTCCAAGGCTGTCACTCTCCTAAGCCCAAGGAGAGTGATCCACTCTTCTCTGCAAGCCACTTCTCAGCTATCCCAGTCTTGACAATCCCAAAGCCCATTTTTTTACCCCTCTACACTCCTACCCAACTTGCCTGCTTGCCCAGAATTCAGATCTTGGCCTGCTCCTTCGCCCGAGATCCTTCACCTCTTCCGACTCAAATACCTGGGCTCATGTCCCTTTTCCAGAAAGTTACCTCCCCCAAGCATATAAACACAGAGCTCAAGGAAACTGAAAAAGTGTTCGGTAAACTTCTCACACCCAGAAATATCTTATTTCTGTTTTGTTTTTTCTTTTATGGAAAGATTTTCATGGATGTCATTTCTGCTATTACGAGGGAAACACAGGAAATGCCATGCCAGCATTGCGTACCGTGGCAATGTTCCTGAGGTTATGGGGAATGAAAAGTGGCAAGTTAGAATTTGGGGTGACAAAGACAATATTCTGGGTCATCATTTCCCACGTGGCCAGATGGGAAACGCTGCTGTATGAAGTTAGAGCCACTGTTAGAAACTGAGATATGAACTGAGATATAAACCTAGGTTATGGGCGCAACAACGGAATGCCTAGGTGTACTTTTTTATAACAAGAATACAAAGCTGAAAATGAATGAACTGCAGCTAAAATACTATGTTCATTTTTCACACTGTCTAGTCCAGGGGTCAGCAAACTTTTTCAGCAGGGGGCCGCTCTTCTGTCCCTCAGACCTTGTGGGGGGCGGGACTATATTTTTTGGGGAAAATGAACGAATTCCTACGCCCCACAAATAACCCAGAGATGCATTTCAATAAAAGCCACACATTGTACTCATGTAAAAACACCAGGCAGGCCCCACAAATAACCCAGAAATGCGTTTAAAATAAAAGGACACAGTCTACTCATGTAAAAACATGCTGATTCCTGGACAGTCCGCGGGCCAGATTTAGAAGATGATTGGGCCGGATCTGGCCCCCAGGTCTTAGTTTGCCTACCCATGGTCTAGTCCTTCTCCTGCCCACCCCCCTAATATTCTTAAGAGGGTCTCTTCTCCAGTCTTCAGAGTACCTGAAAGTGGGGAGGCAGGAAAAGGTCCTCCTTTCCTTCCACTCTGCAGTCTTAATCTGAAATCTTAAGCACAGTACTGTGCCCAGAGCTCAGAAACTGCTCGCGCTAATGAAATACCCTGTCGCAAAATGCACCTAGAACAATGGGAGCTTTGAACACTGGTTAGAGTCACCTGGTTCCTACAGAACCAGAATATGGAAGCAGAGTTACTGCCTAAGTGAAAGGGATGAAACGGCTGTCCCACTTACCAAGGAGCTAAAACCATCATTCTGGCATGGGCGCTTTTACTTCCCTTATATGTACATCTTGTTGAACTCTCTCTTCCTAGAGAAAAGAACTGATCAAATTAGTGGCCGTAACACCACCTTATTGTGCTTTCAGAGGATTTACCTTGAGTTACCATTTGTGCAGCAAAACAAAATATAAGACTTCTCATTAAGATTATTTAGGTTGCAACCTGCATCTATAAAGCTGGGAATAAGTCTTGGTTAACTCAATGGAACTTGCTTTTGAGTAGATGTATAGAGGATCGGTCTGCCAAAGTACAATCTGTGAGAAAGGCTTTGCCAACATTTCATTATGAAAAGATTAAACTTGCACAAGGCAAACTGTGCTTTTCACATGCGTCTCAACATGCTACGAAGCCTGCTTCTACAAAATCAACCGAGTCATCCCGAGGCACCTTAAAGATTAACAAAAATATACATTTGCTAAAGTGCCCCTAGGCTTAATTTTTGGTTTTGTTTTGACAGATTAATGGAAATCACCTTCAAGAATTCATCATCAATTTTACTTCAGTTAACCAGGAAGAAGATTAAAAACAAAGCACCTGACATACTGTAAACAGAAAACATCCCTCAGCAAGGAACTGAGAGCAAAGCAAGATAATATGGGAGCAGCCCCAAATTTACGCTTTTGTGTCAGTAATATCTAAGGGGTAAGAAAAAAGTGAGTTTCAATTGCTCAGGCAGTACATAGGTGTCAATTTTTCATATACTGTATGGGTGAGGAGAGCTCAACCCTGCCACCCACCCCTATCTCACCATACTCTTGTTTCAAGCATGGAGAAGCTTTCTGTATTCTGAGTGAGGCTGGGATAAAAGTGCCTGCAGAGATGGAACACACAGAGTCACACAACAAGGACAGGGAAGAGAAGAACCTATCAGATGGAACTGTCACTATTTTTAATTCAGTTTGGGGTGAAGCACTTTATTTTACTTGCCAACAAAGAATTTTCTCATTTACTTCCTTAAATGTGACTATTAGGGTCTTTGGAAAGCATTTTGATTAAGAAAATTATCCCCTCATTGACACAGTATCGTCTGTTCATTTAATTATACATGGGAACTTTTTCTTTCCTTGCCAATCATCCCTACACAAGCCTTGGTGTGACTAACAAAGACTGAATCACTTCTGTCCAAAGAAGAATACTTTACCCAAAATATCTCCAAGCAGGATGGAGCTATCAGAATATGCATGCTAGCAACTAACAATCCCACCTGACAGCAGTCGATCAGCCTAAGTAAGCAGCCATGATGTAAACAGGACCAAATGGTCACAGCTCACAGAGAAGTGTGCAGTAAAGTGTTGTAATTTATCCGCATGTATTAACAGAAGTGGTCCTGTTCAGCCAGTCAATGGGAGGAATGCAATGCAGTACTAAGTTGGGCATGTGTGTACAGAATGAGGTCCGCTCACGCAATGGGACTTTCCCCTCTCTCCTCCCCTGCACGCCCCCTAAACCTTTTCTGGGGGTTCCCCCAACTCTCCAGAGCAGATTTATGGGGTGCAGGGAGAGGGGGGAAATTCCAGTAAGTGAGCAGAGCTAACTCCTTGCATGCAACAACTTAGTTGAATCCCACCCAATCTCTCCAAGCAGGACAATCCAGAATCCCAGGTTTTATCTTATCTTTTATTTTTTTACTTTGGCAAACCCAGGGTTCCTCCCAGCATGCCAGTACCTTCTTGTTTCTTAGTGTCCCGCATTTTGGTGCCATTTCCAGTGGCACTCAACACACTGAGTTCTTTATTAGAGGGAGCAACGATGCATACGCTCAAGACAAAAATACACTATCATTTTTTATTATTATATTAATTTCTCTACCACCCTTCATCCAAGGATCACAGGGCAGTTTGCAATATAAAAACACAAAAACACATACCATAATAACAAACAAACAAAAGCAATCTCCTTCACCCAGTTTAAAAGGCTGTAGAATGTTTAATTAGCCAAAGGCCTGGGAGAAGAGAAATGTTTTTGCCTGGCACCTCAAAAAATGCAATGAAAGCACCACAAGTGGGGAGCAACTGCAAAAAAAGGCTCATTCTCGTCTTGCCACCTTCCAAACGTATCGTGGAAGGGCACACACGAAGACACTAATGCAACCATTCACATGTGCAGAGGGCACATACTTGGAAATGCATCTTTATTTCAAAAACGACATATGAAGTAGCCTTGAAAATTGCAGAGATGTACAAAGACTTGGAAGTCAATCTAGTTCCGTGCTCTGCACAAAGGCAAAATCTCTCACGTTCAAAGTCGCAACTGATCAGCCAGTGTCATCCTATGAAAGCACACCCTAAGAAACCACCAAGAACAATTGCACCATTGGTAGCCGCAAGATTCAGTCCACGTTATGACTCCACTTGAGCTTGCCATCCCTCCCACAGCACTACTCCTTTTGTATTCAATCACCTGGATTGCAGCTTGCTTTCTCTCAGAGGGACATACTGGGCAGGGAACATTGTGCATTAAACATGTCCAGCCTCTCAAGTGTGGGATATACAGCAGGAGGAATGTTAGCAGAAACAAAGGAAGCTGCCTTACAGGAAGTCAGACCAGGGCTACATCTAGCTCAGCATTACATTTGCCAGAAACAGGGAACGCTCAGGCCCAGGGGCCAAATGCCAGCCTTTCTGATCTAGCCCTTGAGACTCTCTCCAGGGAACACACACTCCCAAGCCACACCCCTCATTTTATAGAGAAATAGCCAAGAATTCCAAGATATCCATTACCTTTGATCTTTGAGGAAGGGCTGTAGCTCAGTGACTGGCACTCACAGCACTCTAGCAAAATGTGCCGCTTGATCCACAACGGGTTGGTGACCCATGGCTTAAACCAGGGGTAGGGACCCTAAGGCCCGTGGGCCGGATGCCGCCCAATCGCCTTCTCAATCCGGCCCACGTACAGTCTGGGAATCAGCGTGTTTTTACATGAGTAAAATGTGTCCTTTTATTTAAAATGCATATCTGGGTTATTTGTGGGGCTTGCCTGGTGTTTTTACATGACTAGAATGTGTGCTTTTATTTATAATGCATCTCTGGGTTATTTGTGGGGCATAGGAATTTGTCCATTCCCCCCCCCAAAAAAATATAGTCCGGCCCACCACATGGTCTGAGGGACGGTGGACTGGCCCACGGCTGAAAAAGGTTGCTGACCTGTCACTTAAACTAAATGGCACTTGCTCTTTAGGCTTTCTGACAGAAGACCTTCACCATTCTACGGGACTTAACTGGGAAACAGCATAAACTTTGCCACTGAGTGAGAACCCTTTCTAATTATAATCTGTGTAGCCTCCCAAAACAGGCCTTCTATGCGATTGTGCTGGAGGCAGGCACACTGGCATCAGGATATGACTTCATAACTGGATGTGAGCCTCCAAACACAGACCAAAAACGAACTATGATTTTGGAGACACTTGTCTGATCTAGAGTTGTGAAGGCCGGCGGGGGGGGGGGGATCAGAAACATGGGGGAACCGCCTCTCCCATTTCCAGTCTGATCCTAGACAGGTCAGCCTTCATACTGCCAAGAGGGCCACACGCAGCGTAGCACGCCTGGGGTTATTTTCTTTTGCAAAGCGTCTCCCTCCCTGCCTGGCGGCTGTGTGTGGAGAATCTTCTACCGCCCGATCCCAGTTCTTGATTACTAGCAAGGCAATTACTGGCAAGGCCCAGATTAAAGTGTGCACGGTGGCGGGGGGGGGGGGCACTGCCAGAACCTGATTCTTCTACCGACACTGCAACTGGTGGGGCAGCCCCCCTTCCTCGCTTATTTTTATTTTTCTAATTTATATGCCATAGCATCTCAGCGGTGTACAATGAGGGTGCAGCAAGGATGCATGACGAAAACCTGCTAAAATTAACAGCGCGAGCTCGTCCTCGTCTCCCGCCGCTCCCCGTTTCCCGGGCTAAGAAGGCGGGACTCGCGAGACTTGGCTATACCTGAAGGCATCCTGAACCTCCCCATCGCAAGGTGAGCGGGGCTCTACACTCAACAGGGATTGGCTGGCTGCCCACAGAGGAGAACGTTCCCGCTCGACCGTTCTATCACGCGATTGGAACTGAGCGCCTGGAAAAAGGCCGCGCACGAACGAGCCCGCCTCTTCGCATCCAACGCTTCTGGAACGCCGACTCCCACAATGCACCGCTGCCGCTCCCCCCCTCAAGCCGCCTCTCAGAGAGACTCGCTTGTATCCCATGAGCCACTGCTCTCCCCCTTTGCCGCCGGCGCACCTGCGCCTTTAAGGGTCGCCGCCTTCCGCCTTGCTTCCCTCCGCTGCCCCACAATTCCGCGCGGCGCGCTCCCCTCCTCTCCTCCCTCCCTCCTCGCAGGGCCCCCTGAAGCCGCAAAATGGCGGACACAATGAGTAGCCTCCGCCGCTGCTGCAACTGCCGCCGCCGCCGCCTCCTCCTGCCGCCCGCAGCTTGACTCGAGCCCGCCTGAGGGCGCCGTCGACCAGCTTCTCCGCCCCACCAGCGTCCCCTCCCCGCGGCTTCCTCCTCTCCCTCCGCCGCCAGGCAGGCGCTTCCCGCTTTCCCCGCGCCCTCTTCGGCGCGCAGGCCCCGCCGGCTCCCTCCCTCCTCCGCCTCCTCCTCTCCCGCCAGCGGCGGCATGAAGCTGACGGACAACGTGCTGCGGAGCTTCCGCGTGGCCAAAGTGTTCCGCGAGAACTCGGACAAGATCAACTGCTTCGACTTCAGCCCCAACGGCGAGACCGTCATCTCCAGCAGCGACGACGACTCCATCGTGCTCTACGACTGCCAGGAGGGCAAGTGAGTGTACTGGGAGGGGGCGGGCAGGCCCGGGCAGGCGGGGGGGGGCAGAGAGAGAGGCTCTCTCTGAAGCCGGGAGGAGGCCCTTCAGACCTCTCGCACGTGAAGGGGAGTCAGTGGAGCGGGGGGGGGGCTTGAAGAGAGAAATTTAGAACATTAAAAATAAACCGGTTCTCGGCATCTGAGGATGCTTGTGGAGGAGGGCGGCTTGGGGACCGGTGTGGGTGTGTTGTTGGCAGGACCGGCTGAAGGACAAGAAGCGCCTCGGGGTTGGTGGGATGCCCCGACTTCCAAGGAGGGAGGAACCGAGGGCATAGGCCCCCCCCCCATTTGTATCCCGCCGCTGTGAAATCTGTGAGTAGGGCCTGTCTTCTAATATTCTTGGGAAAGTGCAAGTGCTCTATAAGGATTGGTGGTGTTTCCTGCCTTAGAGAAAAGCAAGTTGTACATCTTAAAGGAATCAGCTAAAGGCCCCCCCCCCTTTGGTTTGTCAGCCTAGATTGCTTAGAGCGTGGTGCTGATAACGCCAAGGTTGATCCTGGTATGTGGCAGCTGCTTATTCCTGCATTGCAGGGGGTTGGACTAAATGATCCCTGGGTCCCTTCCAACACTACAGTTCTATGATTGGGTTCCCCTCCCTGCCTATGTTGACACTTGTGCCCCCTAACCTTTGTATTTATCTATGCAAATAAGCAGTGTGCTTGGTCCTAGGGGTTTAGGAGAAAATCTCTATGTTGATGGTGACTTCAACAAGATAGCATTATTGTGGGATCTTTAGCACATGGATGTGTTAGGGATGTAGGTATACTGGGGCTGAGTGGAGAAAGGCATGTATAAAAACAGTACCTCAGTTGGAATACGGTTGTTTCAGCAGAGGATCATGAAGTGAGTAATTGTCCCGTCAGTAGCACCAGATATAATGCTGTAGAATAGATAGACTGCTAAGTAGCTGCCCTTTCATTTTTATCATTGTGAGAAAATGAAGTTGAAATTATACCGGCAATCGGGTCAGACACAACTCCATTTGTGTTGCCCTACTAAATGATTTGGTGATTATAAGTATTCTTGCAAATGCAATTTGCTGCTACTGTTAGTAGATTTCAATGAAATAAAATGCATTTATAAAGGTTTATGTTCAGTTTTCTTTCCTTCTCACTCAGTGTCTTGTTAAAGTCGATACAGAAAGCACCTTTCTTTGACCCACTTCCTTGTTTTTATATGTGAGACCAAAACATTGAGACAATGTGAATGATTACCAAATCCTAGTGAATGTGATATTTTAAGCATCACACCTATAACAGAATTTTCTTCAGCTCGCCTACTAAAAGTCTGGTACACTAATAAAGTAGTTCCTACCCCACTTCCAAATCTGTGCTTCTGTGGGGTAGAGGTGTACCTAGGGGTTGGCGACATTTGCCCTTGCTAGGGGCACAAAATTCACCCATCAGGCAGAATCCTCCTGTTATACTTGTAGTGCCAGGTATCTCAGGAAAGGTTGTTGCTGCTACAGGTGCAGGAGGGGACGGAAAGGGTCCTCAGAGCAGCTACCAGGCAGAAAACAGTGCAGCTGCCCCATTCAGCCCCAAGGAGACATGTTCCTCCTGTCCAGGCAACCTCACCTGCTGCTCAGATTTGATGGGGGCGGGGGATACAGCTCAAGAGCACAAGGGACCCTAGGTATGCCTCTGCTAGAGGGTAGATTATAAGGGAGTTTTTTTTCTGCCAGAGGTTGGGGACTCTGCCAGAGGTTGTCTTCTGTTGACAGCCAACCACCAGTGGTATCGTGGAGGCGGGGCAAAGAGGTTTTCCCCTTTCCTGCTGTATCTAGCTTGCTTCACTTTGTTGGGGGATGGGTTGGGTGTTAGACACATTCATTTTGCATATTTAATCCATGTGGTCCCAGCACACAACTTGTGTGTGCTCCTCATGTGCACACACCAGATGTTGGGAACTGAAGTTGTGCATAGTCTCCACACAGGGAAAGGGATGACATGGGTATGGAAGACCCTAGGCCACATCACATTTGGGTTGTGTGTGAGTGAGAGTTAGGGGGAAGGGTGCCGGGTGCCAGTTGTCATTTTTTATTTTCACCTTGCAGCTGTGTTATCACGTCTTTGGTACTGCTGATACCATTACAAATGTAAAATGTTGATTTATGTTGCATTTTTAGGCATTTTGGACTGTGACCTTCCAGATTTTCTATGTATATCTTTGATCAGTAATGTGCAGCTATGTTAGGATTGTTTTCACATTAGCTGCTAGATACCTTGAAGAATCAAGAAGGGAAACAAAATTTCCAATACTTTTAAAGACACATAATAATAAATTATTAAAATTCAGTGAGATACGGTTTTTCAAAATAATTGTATTAATAGTATTTCTTACTATACATAGATATATAATCTGTCATCAGTTGTACTCCATGATTTATACTCTTGTCTTTTGTAGACAGAGTTCCCATATTTGCGGCTCTCCCGTGTGGTGTAGTGGTTCAGAGCGGTAGTCTCATAATCTGGGGAACCGGGTTCGCGTCTCAGCTCCTCCACATGCAGCTGCTGCGTGACCTTGGGCCAGTCACACTTCTTTGAAGTCTCTCAGCCCCACCCACCTCACAGAGTGTTTGTTGTGGGGGAGGAAGGGAAAGGAGAATGTTAGCCGCTTTGAGACTCCTTAAAGGGAGTGAAAGGTGGGATATCAAATCCAAACTCCACTTCTTCTTCCCCTCTTGAAGAGTCTGCTCTTTTCCATGTATTTTAAAGTACTTAACTCCATTAGCTGACCCTATCCGGGCAAAGTTTAGAATATTAGCGGGGGGGGGGGCAGTTCCAATTCATTCTACTGCTGAATAGGAATCATGGTTTCTGTTTTCATTCTGAGAGCATCAAATAATCTTTCGCAGTCAACCTTCAGGATAGTGAAATCTTTGCCAAGAATGAAGCTATCTTTTCTATTAAAAAAAACGTTTCTTCTATTGAAACCCATATTATTTTTGCATCTGTCTGATTTAGGTTTAAAGCAATTTTTCAAATTTCAAAGGAAAAAATCATTTACTTGTTAAATTGGTTGCCCCTAGCAAGAGTGTCCAGAGCTTATGAAATGAGACATCAATGAAAAGCACAATCACATGTAATCAGACTATGTGTTGTTGTGTAGCTGCAAGCTTTATTTTCTCCTTGTTTAAGGCAGTTCTTAGACCAAATAAATGCCTTTTTAATAATTGACTATCATGAAAGCAGTCCTATGATCTTGCATGCTGGCATTGGTGACACATACAGTTTGTTCCCTCCCTTTCCCCAAGGGGAGTGTGTATCAAGCCAAAAAGAGTTCCTTACCTTCTCACTTCTTTGTGGGCTCAATTTTATGGAACTCCTTTCCAGCTGAGGTCAGACAGCCCCCTTCCCTGTTGAACTACTGAAGATATTTTAATTGAAGTATTTTTATAGTTCCGACCAATTTTATAGTTCCATCAAAAAATTCATTTTTGTGTATTATATTTCTTGTACAGTGCTTAGAGGTGGTTATAGTTAAGCAGTATATAAATTGTTTAAATAAATAATAAACAAAAAGGGGATTTTGCCACCTGTTGTTGAATCTCAGTTTACATGCTCTTTTTATATTTGTTCTTCTACTCTGTTGATTCTCACTCTGACCACAGATAGACAAATTGTAATTAAGTGTCCCACATTCACCTAATACTTCTGTCAGTTTGAAGAGGACATAACATACCAGAGCGCAATGAATTTTTGAGTGCTAGATGTTATAGAAGTGGCACAGTATAGTGGTACCTTGGGTTAAGTACTTAATTTGTTCCGGAGGTCCGTTCTTAACCTGAAACTGTTCTTAACCTGAAGCACCACTTTAGCTAATGGGGCCTTCTGCTGCCGCCGCACCGCCGGAGCACGATTTCTGTTCTCATCCTGAAGCAAAGTTCTTAACCCGAGGTACTATTTCTGGGTTAGCAGAGTCTGTAACCTGAAGTGTATGTAACACCCTTTCACTTAGCAAGAACATAATTTTCACTCCCCTACCTATGTTACAGTATCAACAAGTTTGAAAATAAAATGTATTTGTGTTTATTGCTTAAATACTATAATCTACCACTATAGGCCATGTTTAGTGTTACAGGAGCAAACCACAAACCTGGGCTTATGCATTCCCAACATTCCTTTTGCTGTGAGAAGGATGAGCTTGAAAGCTTCTGCTTTCAATTTTAAACTAACTACAATTATGTCCAAAGTTGGGACTCTGATTAAACTCTCTAGCCATGGTTTATGATTCTTACATGAATCAGTTGAATCAAACCAGAGATCCTGGAGTGCGGACAAGGAGGAATCGTAATTAAAATTAAAAATACAGTCATACTTTGGTTGTCGAACGCCTTGCAACTTGAATGTTTTGGCTCCCAAACTGCGCAAACCCCGAAGTGAGTTCTTTGGAACTCAAATGTCTTCTGTGGCTTCCAATTGAGTGCAGGAAGTTCCTGCGGCCAATCCAAAGCTGCATCTTGGTTTTCTAACATTTTCGGACGTCGAATAGACTTCTGGAACGGATTCCGTTCGAAAACAAAGGTACGACTGTAGATGCTTCTGACCACCCCTTCCTGGTGTACCCCATGGCTCATTCCTATAATACTAAACTATAGTTTACTGGTACATTCAAAGTGACTTAGCCTATGAGATGCAGTATCTAGACTGGGTTTTGATGCGGAAGGCCCAAGTTCAAAATTGACTCATCCATAAAGTTCATAAGCTCCTGGCCAATATATAGTTTTTATGATGAGACAGATAACAAATCTCTTCTTGCAGCAAGCTACAATGATTGCTTTTAAATTTCCTGGGTAAAGATTCAGAAATACTGGCATGACTCAGTAGCCAAACATGTTTATGACTTCCTCTGAACCTTCCCCTCCCCCACGTTTTCTCCATGTGTTATAGGAGAGGTCTTCTATATCGTGCTGAGCTCTGGGCCAGGCAAAATAAGTGCTGACTTGTGCTACTTCTGCCTGGCTATGTGTAAAGTAAATAGCAAACTCCTTTTGTGTATGTTACAAGATTTGACAGATGTGAGGGAATTTCTTACTGTAGTGGAAGATTAGATCTAGGGCTCGGATTTGGGTTGTGTCTGCACATCATGCTAACCCATGGTTTGACATGATACCAAGGAGCTGAAATAAGGCTTATGCACTGCCACCGCCTCTCCCCTACCTCTGTGTAGCCAGAAGGAAGCTTTTGACTGCATCTGGTTTCACTTTTCTCTGAATCTTTGCTTGTTGTGTCATCTGGGCCAGGATTTATTATAAACTCTGAGTGGTTTAACAAACCAGCTTCAGACACCATGGTTTGAAGTGAGCTTGTTTTGAATCTGATTCATTGGAACTGTTTCTAGCCCCACAATCTCTTTATTTAATGGCATACACTAGCATGTAAAAAAAATCATTTGTTAGTCACAGTTCATTTTGTGGTAATCAAAGGTGACAGAAACAGCAGTCTTAAAATGGCAGTTGTCTTCTTTGAGTGAAGGTGTTCAATTGCTTTTTTAAAGGTTTTGATATGGCTAAGCGGAGTTCTTGTATGTTGGAACAAGTATAATCGTTCTTGTATTTCTTCCTGGCAGACCTAAGAGAACACTATACAGTAAAAAGTATGGAGTGGATCTCATCAGATACACGCATGCTGCCAACACTGTGGTGTACAGTTCCAATAAAATAGATGGTAAGTGATCTATTCATTGTCTCTGATATCTACTTGCTTTTTGGCAGGGATAGATAATAAATACTTGAGCAAAAGATTGGGCTTGACTACATTGAGTGGTTTATTCATTCAAGCTTTTAGAAGGTAAATGAATATTTTCCTGCTCTTAATGTTTGATCTCTAAATTATTATTTTAAAGAGATACCTTAGTCAATTCTTGACTGAACTTTTAATCAGGGTGAAATGAAAGCCTGAACCATTGATTTGATGCAAGCTAAACATGTATGCAGGTGTCTCTTAGCTTTGCTACTGGCTTATGCAATTTTAACCATGTCTACTTAGAGGTAAGTCCTATTGAGTTCAGTGTGACTTACGTCCAGGTATGTGAGGTTACAATTGCAGCCTTAGAACTTGCCCTCATCTCTTGTTTTCCCCAACCGTAAATGCGTTATGTTTACTTAGGAATATAAATTGGGGTCTGTAAATTCATAAATTCATTCCTAAAAAACATTACAGTTCATTTGACATGACTCTATGTGGTTAACGATGTTGATTATCTTTATCAGACTGGGTTCTGTTGGTCACATCAGATGTACATTTTTTAGTATTTGAGCTTGTCTTGAGCAGAAACGTGAACCTGAAAGAGATTTATGAATATGGGCTTTGATTTTTCCCCCTACTCATTCTATCCTTCCCACACTTTTCCTGCTTCTTTTTCAGTCGCATCCATTTCCCCAAACTACTCTCCTCACTTCTGTTGTTGTGCTTGCTCTGCAGATTCTGCAGTTCCCACCTTCAGTTTATTTATTGAATTTATATCCCAATCCTACCAGTGCAACCCTTTCCTCAACTATTGACATGTTTGCTCCTCTCTCACAACAGCTCTCTCATCTCGAAACCTGGCTTGTTTCATCCATTCAATATCTCTGTTCATACTCTAATACAGATGAGCAGTTTCTGCTTCTCATCTACCATTTATCTAGTGGGTAATCATTAATTTCTGACTTTTAACTTGATAATGTTGTCTCCTTAAGTTGACATTTAAGCATTTGAACAAACCATGCTTGATTAAAACACTGAACAAGTTTTCTAGCTTGCTTTTCATCCTCTGGAAGTGGTGAGAAATTTATTTCCCCACCCCCCTGTTGGCCAGCTTCATTCCCTCGCCCACATACCCCTGTGGGCCACCCTCCAATTATTGGCAGTTACAGTGAGCACCTTTAAAGTCCATTTGTGAGTATGATTTGATTTAACACTGCACCTGCAAATGGACAAAGCTGGGCTCAGTGGGGAACCCCTTAGTGCAGGCTTCCTCAACCTCGTCCGTCCAGATGTTTTGCGACTGCGACCTGATCACTGGTCCTGCTAGCTAGGGATCATGGGAGTTGTAGGCCAAAAACATCTGGAGGGCCGAGGTTGAAGCCTGCCATAGTGCAACCAATTCTAGTAAAGCTTGATGGTGGTGCTGATTTAAGCTCCCAGTTGTTATTTTGTAGCTGCATCCTTACCTGTCCCACACCTGTCCATATATATGCCATCAGGTGTGGGGTGGGCGGGCGGGCATGTTTGAGGAAAGCAGCCTTGCTTGCCATTTTGGGTCCTGTGCCCGCAGGGTGGAGGTTTTTCGCCCTTTGTAGGGCAAGCTTCTAAAATTATCCTTTTTAAGCTGTAAGTACAAGGAATTTATTTTATACTCATATCTATTTTGGCTCAATGTAGTAACATCTTGAGTAAAATAATAAAACTTTTGTCAAATTCAGTTAGTTATAACCTGAGAGTAAGATGTTAAGATATTTGGTGTCCTTTAAAGAATAGTCAAGTTTATTATCAAGGCATTAATATTCTAAAAATTATCTGAGAAGAATTGTAGGCATTCACAGAGGGTAATAAAAGTATTATGAATAATATCTTGAGGTTTTTTAATCTAAAGCTTAAAATTCAGAATATTTTCAGAACTGGCCAGTCTTTCTGGCCTCTGCATAGAGGTGATACCACAGCAGTAATTAACCACATCCTTCTCTTGCTGGGTGTACAAAATTATGATATGGCTCCTTAACTTTTCTTTTTAAAAAACAAAATGTGTGTACATTCCTTGATTATGAAACAGTCCTCAGCCATGGTTGGCAGTGTTAGAGTATGCAGTGATATGGGTTTTCCAGAACCAGCACGGTGCACTGGTTAGAGTGTTGGACTAGGGCCTGAGAAACCAAAGTACAAACCCCACTCAAACCCTGAGTTGTCGCCAAGCCTAGTAATACTCAAAGTAGACCAATTGAAATTATTAAACCTAGGGTCAGTGTCAACTATTCCATACTACTAGCAGAAGTCAGAACAATGACTTAAAGCTCAGTGGGTGCCCTTAGACGAGTTACTGCCTCTCACTTTAACTTACCTCACAAGTCGATGGGATGATAAAATGGGAGTTCAGGGGAGAACTATATGTACCTTAAGATCCTTGGAAAAAGATGGGATATAAACAAATAAATTAAAAATAAATAATTTCCAAACCCTAAATCAATTGAGTCTGATTTTACATAATTGATTGTTTTAGTAAAAATAAGAAGTGGGGATTAGGTGAATCATGTTTGGGCTAGTTGAGGCTCATCTGCATAGCACTACCAGGGTTGCATGCGAACTTAGCCATTGAAGCTGTAATGCTGTATTCAAGCCAAAGCTTTACTTGAAAATACTTTTCGAGATATAACAGCTTGGCAACATACACTTCCTTACATAGGGCTGTGTCCAATGCTAGTCCTTTTCAGAGTAGACCTGTTGAACTTAATGGACGTTACTAACAGGGGAGGAATTCATTGTCGTATGAAGGATGTTGTTCTGTCAGCACTAGTGTTTTCTGCTTGTCTTATGGAATGATCTCCCCTCTTCTCCCACGACATGCTGTTCTTAGTGTTCTCCTGCCCCTCCAGAGCAGCTTTGGGTGGGGTCCCATTGCTTTAGTGGGAGTCATTGTTCTGACTTCTGCTAGTAGTATGGAATAGTTGACACTGACCCTAGGTTTAATAATTTCAATTGGTCTACTTTGAGTATTACTAGGCTTGGCTACAACTCAGGGTTTGAAATTTAAAGGAAAACAAACACACAAAAATATGTTTATATTTATTACATATTCATGCACACTTCTGAGGGATAGTGATCTACAAAATGTTAATCACAACTTTGAAACTGCAGAGTTTGACTGTTTTATGTGTAACTAATGAATTTTATGAAATAATGGATTTTTACAAATGGGAAAACATTAGAAAGTTTTTCTACCTTGCATCACTGATATGTGCTTCAAAAGGTATCTATCTTGAATGTCTGAAGCATTTCAAGAACTCATACAGTATGGACATGTTCTTGGAAGAGGCAGGCAAGTCAAAGTCCTTTCCTGCAGGAGGCTTGCCACAATTTGTGTATTTAATTAATATTTAGGTGTTTCTGAATTTCTGCTTGAACCAGCTCTGCTGATGTACTCCTCTATGAAGAATGTCTCAGTTTTCAAGCCTAATTCTACCTGCCTGATTCCAGGCTGAGGTAGTAGTTTGTACAGTTTGAGGGTCTATGATACCACCCGGTACAGGAGATAACTGTACAGGCCACTGCCTTGCCTGGGACAGAGCTTTATCTGCTAAAACAAGGCGCTTCCTCCCTGCATTCGTTTGGTGCCAGGTAACTGTTGCTACTTAAAGACCATCAGTCTCTCTCAAATGTGTGTGTGTTTAAACAATAGATTCAGGAATTTAAAAAACCTGTGCATTGCAGTGTGCATGGTAGAGAGTTGGCTCTTCAGACTAGCATGTCTGTCCTGGGCATTCATTTTTGGCTTGCAAAATTGTTCTTCAAAATGTGGCTACGTCCCTCTGCATGTTCTTATCAGTTTCACTGGAAAATACTTAAGCACATTATTTTTCATGCGATTAAAGGGCTGCAAAATGTGTGGGTTCTGCATCCTTACTTTCCACTTGGGAGTTGAAATTCTCATCTTATTTGCTCTCCCACTATAGTTTGTCTTTTGAAGAAGCTGACTTATTTACGTCAACATTTATAAATATAACTTTGAGTAAAGACTGAGAAATAATTTTACAAGATTAGTTTTATCTGCTGTATAACTTACTTAACTGTAACGAGTACAAACCAAAAAAGTATGTTGAAAATACTGATTGAGAAATACTGCAAATGTAATGCAAGTGATCAATCTCAATGTTCTATTCGTGATTATATACATGTTTAAGCATTGCTATTTAGTTGTCTTTTACTTGTTTACTTCTGTTCGTTTCTTTTTATCCAGAAGTAGTTTTCAGAGTTCAGTATCCCAGAATTCTCATTTTAACTGCAGTTGTTGAGCTGAGGTGGTTGGCACTTGGATAAGGTTTACATGACTGCTAAATTCTTAACACAGCTAAAAGTTAAACAAACTGCAGGTAGAGAAATGGTTATATTTTTTAGACAGAAAGTACAGTATATTATTCCTACTGGCTCAAACCTAAAACATTTTCATGCTGGGACATGCAAGTACTGTACTATTTTGCTCAGGCTCTGCCAGAAGACTGTACTTCATGGCTTCAATTTTAACCCACACAATAACTGTGTTTCAAGAAAAATAACTGTCTCTATTGAAATAAACAAACTGTTATTACTGGCCAGGTGATGCAGGGTTGCTGTATAATATTGTTTGCCTTGTTGATTTCTTGTAGATACAATCAGATACCTCTCTCTGCACGACAATAAATACATCAGATACTTCCCAGGACATAGCAAAAGGTAAGATGAGTAGTGCACTCGTAATTTTGCTGGTAAAGAAGCAGGAATAACGGTGCATTTTGTTGAATTTTTATCTTGTTTAAATTGGCAAGAATGAAAGATGAAAAAATAGTTTTGTGTCATTTATTTTTATCTCACCTTCAGAGTTGTTGCTCTGTCCATGTCTCCAGTGGATGATACCTTTATTTCTGGGTCGCTTGATAAGACCATCAGACTTTGGGATCTTCGATCTCCAAATTGCCAGGTATTGAGTATTGGTTAATGGGTAGTCGGCATAAGGTGCACTGGAGGGCTGCTTCAGAATATAGAATAGACTGTAGAGCATAGTATTCAATTCCACTAAAAGATGGTGTGTTACCAAAGGAATTACAAGCCTATAAATCTGTTCTGTGCATCAGCTTGAGCCTTTTCTCTAATACTAATTGCCAGAATTTGTGGTGGTTCAGCATTGGAATCACAACTGGGGAGGGAAATGTTCACCTCCCCATCTGTTGTGGTCCCAAAGAACATTTTCCCTCCATGCACACACTTCTTAGTGATATTTTTAAACCTTATGCATGGTTGTTACCCACACAATTATAGCAAATATTCAGCCTATGGGTATGTATCCAGTTTCTTCCTCAAAAGCTGCAACTCTGGGATGAAGAGAATTATTCTATTGATGAAGAGCAAGGTAGTTGTAGGAAGCACTGGAATCTGATTGGATATCTCGGTTACATTATTTGATTTCTAAATATATCAAGGACACAAATAAACATTAATTTGCAACTTTGATTGATATCTTAGCCTTTGATTTAGTAAATAAGGACCAGCTGCGGCTCACAAGTTCGCCAGTACTAATATTGACAAAAGGTTACTGTGACTTGTACAGACTCTGCATTAGAACACTCCCCTGCAATTAAGAGTGTGCATTAATGATGTTTTAATATAAGCAGTTTTGATAAAAACGGGTAAAGGAGAGATATAGTTTGGTCCCACTTTTCATTTTTTGCATAAACAACATTGTTGCAGAAATGTCTGCTTTGGTGGAATGAATGATTTCAGCTCTGCTTTATGCCAATAACGTAGCATTGTTATCATGAAGTAAGATACAGTGCTACCTCAGGTTAAGTACTTAATTCCTTCCGGAGGTCCGTACTTAACCTGAAACTGTTCTTAATCTGAAGTACCACTTTAGCTAATGGGGCCTCCTGCCGCCACCGCCGCGCCACCAGAGCCCGATTTCTGTTCTTATCCTGAAGCAAAGTTCTTAACCTGAAGCACTATTTCAGGCTTAGTGGAGTGTGTAACCTGAAGCGTATGTAACCCGAGGTACCACTGTAGGCTTAACTAACATTGTCTAAATTTGAATCACTGTAGGAAGTAATCAAGCACTCTTAGGTTATGTTTGCTTAAATATCCCAAAAATGTAAATGGCTGCTTGATGGCCAAATGTGTAAACACAAACAGGCATTTAGATACCTGCTACCTTTTTCTTGGTGAAACGTTAACTGGGAAATTTCAGATAGCTGCTGTCAAAACATCTGTTCAGATTCAAAAGCAGATAGTTCCTATTTTGAGTATTTTCTCTGCCAATGCTTTAGCTCTGAGGCTGAGCTTTGGGGAGGAGTAAAATCAGAACTATAATTAAATAAATTTTAAACAAAGATCTTAGGACTCCCTATATGAACACCATCAATTCCTCTTAGATCCAACTTTAGCTTATCTTTTGTAGCTGGACCTAACGGTCAGGGGTCCCTTTACTTTTACCTTTACCTTTAAACAAAATGAATATATCTTAACTAAATTATATTCATTGGAACACCTAAGTGTCAGATGGCGAGGGTGGCTGCTCACGAGTAAGCAGGCAGGACTCCAACCTGTCTTTTACAGGTTTTATTTTGGTGCAAACTATTTACAGTGCAGAAACCCAAAGTTCATGCCTGCCTCAATCGCTAGCAGAATCTGGGAGTGCCTGTTTCCTGGACCTCCTCCAGCATAAAAGCCTCGTTACGTCCAGCCTTTTCCGTCCCTCTTTGCGCTTTAGACTTCTGCGCAGGGTGGGCGACAGAGGGGGGCGTGCTTCCCTCCTGGCCGGCTTTGCCAGAAGTGGTGCTGAGGCTCCCACCAGCATCCTCTGGTCCTTTCACCTCTTCTCCACTGGAGGTGGGGTTTTCCTCATCACTGGAAGAAGAACTGCCTTGCAAGATTTTCGGAGGCTCCCTGTAACACAACTGCCCCTCTGTTTCCCGCCCCTGTTCTGATGCAGTTCCCTGACAGTCATGTGCAGAGTTGTCAAAAAACCAAGTAAACTGTAATTTAGCAATTGTTTATGAGGTCCAGAAAAATGGTGTAATTTATAATATGTTTCTCATAAGATTATGCCAAGGCACATTACCTATAAATACTAACTTTCCTTGGTTCTTCACGGAGCTTAGACTCAAGTAATGCCACCCATATATATTTAATGGAGTTTTACAGGTATCTGTGGCACCAATGAAAATGTGGGTTTGGCTGTAATCATATAGACATAATTCACAACTAAGTTTTTTCAATTATATGTTGAACCATGGAAATTTTAAATAATCTCTTAACAGTGTTGTGATAGAACAATACAAGATATTGTGATATAATTGTTAATACATAGTTTTATATTTATATGCTGGCATTGCTTGCCACAGTAGTTAGGAAACTACATGCATACCTGTTAGTGATTCATCTTTGTTAATGATTCACATTTAATCATTCCAACTCAGTATTCTGGTTTAGAAATATAGTGGGCATGAATTCTATTATTATTATTATTATTATTATTATTATTAATTATAATATAATGTATAATGCATATTGTTGACTGTGAGAGAGAGTGCATGCGTTCTTGCTTGTATTGTGATTTAACAGTAATAGAAATAACACATTTTGTTTTATGTGGAGTAATTTATTTTAATTTCCCAAATTAAAGGGCTTGATGCATCCTCAAGGGAAGCCTGTGTGTTCATTTGATCCAGAGGGGCTGATTTTTGCAGCTGGGGTCAATTCCGAAATGGTGAAGCTTTATGATCTTCGCTCATTTGATAAGGTATGTAATGTTCAGGTGCATTTGAGATTGTAAACATTCCCAAGAGATCTCTATAAACATTTCTGTAACGGGCAGAATTCCTGTGATTCAGATATAATGCATTTAACTCTAGAAAACAAAAGTCATACTCTAGATCTATTAAAGTAAAACGTAATTTTTGTTAAGTGGTCCTGAGTTTTCATTCATGTTGGAAGAATGCCCTATCTGATCAGGGTCTATCTAGACCAGCATTCTTTGCCAGCGTCCCAGTGACCAAGAGATGCTCACTGGCTCCCTTCAGTCTTCTCACAACAAAAATAATTCTGTATGACTGTGTTTGTGCAGGTTCATGTTAACTTTCATAAATAGAATGATTGAGATGGTTCCGCTATATGCCCTCATTTGGTTTCCTTTCTTGAAGGGTCCATTTGCTACCTTTAAGATGCAGTATGACCGAACCTGTGAGTGGACTGGTTTGAAGTTCAGCAGTGATGGTAAACTTGTTCTTATATCAACCAATGGAGGGTTCATCCGACTCATAGATGCCTTTAAAGGAGCTGTTCTTCATACATTTGCGGTGAGGCTGCTTTCCTTACTTTCTGGGGTGCTCTCTGTCTTAAACTTCCTTAGTTATAGGTGAGATGTACCGTATTTTTTGCTCCATAAGACACACTTTTTTCCTCCTAAAAAGTAAGGGGAAATGTGTGTGCGTCTTATGGCGCGAATGCAGGCTGCGCAGCTATCTCTGAAGCCAGCACAGCAAGAGGGAGAGCTGCGCAGCACCTCTTGTTGTGCTGCCTTTCCAGCGAAGCGGGAGGAGGGACAGAAGGGAGCCCTTACGGAGCCCCTTCCGTCCCTCATCCTGCTTCACTGGGAAGCCAGCAGACCAAGAGGCGCTGCACAGCTCTCCCTCTTGCTGTGCTGGCTTCAGCGATAGCTTAAGAGGCTTTGCACAGCAAGAGGGAGAGCTGCGTTAGGGCACCCTTCCGTCCCTAATCCTGCTTCGCTGGGAAGGCAGCACAACAAGAGGCGCTGTGCAGCTCTTTCTCTTGCTGTGCTGGCTTCAGAGATAGCTGCACAGCTTGCTCTGGTTTTCAGGGAGGTGGGAGACGGGACAGAGGGAAGTCCATCAGTCCCTTTTTCCACCTCCCGAAAAAGCCAGCAAGAGCCACTCTATCTTTAAAGAGCCGCGCCGAGCGAGCGTGTCTGCGGCTCTTGCTGGCTTTTCTTCTTTTTCTTCTCTAAAAACTAGGTGCGTCTTATGGTCGGGTGTGTCTTATAGAGCAAAAAAATATGGTATTGCACAGATCCACTAGTATTGTTTTAAAGATTTCTCAGCTGTTCATCTTTCAACAATCATTCTGTCTAAATGTTCATGTTACAGACATTTTTAGGAGGCACTATCAGGCGCTTCTTCCATAAACCTATTACTGTTTGGTGGAAATCAGGGTTCAATATTGCAGCCCAGCAGACAAGGCTTAAACCAATAAGAGTGACAAGTGAGTCAGTAGTGCAACTGAAACAGTAATTTATTAAGCAGACTATCCAATGCAAGTGTAATAGATAAAGAAAGCAGATAAAGCATGAATTCTTTACATAACAGTACTTGGTATTGCATTGCAATGTCCTCCTACAGTCCTCTTGTTCATCTACTTAAGACGTGATTATTCTAAGTTCCATAGTAGTTCATAATTAACAGTGACCATCAATATCAATGGATCTCATGGTCCTTTCTGTATCCTTTGAGAGACAAAGTAAGCCTACCCTACTCCTGTCCTTTATAGGTTTTTATATTGATCATAGGTGGGAACAATTTTTTCCACCCACTTTGTTTACCCAGTTTTCTCCTGTAATGTCATCTTAGCTTCTATCATTTAGTGGCTTCATTATTCACCAAGCCACCAGACAAGACGTTCCTCATTCTCTTATCAGCCCATGGTGTTGCACATGCTGCTTCTGTTTTTTTGGTTTTTTTTTAAGTAATATTTATTAAGATTTGAAAGGTTACAAAAAGAAAAAAAAACAGCATACTAAACAAAAACAGAACATCACATCACAATAAAGAAAAAAAAAGAAAAAAAAGAAAGAAAAAAATACAATGAATCTTCCCATAACTTACCTTTCATTTGTTTGTTTCCTTGACCTCCTCACACCTCCCTTTTTTGTATTCTAGTTCAATTAGCTATTTCAGCAAGTCCTTTCCATCTTTTCCAGTTTTTGTCCTCTATTTTATCTTAATATAATGTTACTTTACTTTCCCTCCTTTCACCATTTAACAATCTGTTTTTTTTCTTAACCCTTTACGGTATCTCTGCTAAAACCACATTATTTCATTCCAACATCCTTCTAACATTCCTTAATGTCTTCCAATACTTCACGATGAGTATTCTTTCTGCTGTTGTGGCATACATAAAGAAAGGTCTATCCTTTTTTGGCACCAATTGGCCGACCATGCCCAGGAGAAAGGCCTCTGGTTTCTTCAGGAAGGTATATTTAAATACCTTTTTCATTTCATTATAAATCATCTCCCAGAATGTCTTAATCCTTGGGCATGTCCACCAAAGGTGAAAAAATGTACCTTCAGTCTCTTTACATTTCCAACATTTATTATCGGGCAAGTGATATATTTTTGCAAGCTTGACTGGTGTCATGTACCACCTGTAGATCATTTTCATTATATTCTCTCTTAGGGCATTACATGCCGTAAACTTCATACCTGTGGTCCATAACTGTTCCCAGTCAGCCATCATAATATTATGTCCTACATCTTGTGCCCATTTAATCATAGTTGATTTCACCGTTTCATCCTGAGTATTCCATTTCAACAGCAAGTTATACATTCTTGACAAGTTCTTAGTTTTGGGATCTAACAGTTCTGTTTCCAATTTTGATTTTTCCACCTGGAAGCCAATTTTTTTATCCAAATTGTACGCCTCCATTATTTGATGATAATAATGGAGCCAGTCTCGCACTCTATTTTTTAATTTTTCAAAACTCTGCAGTTTTAATCTGTCTCCCTCTTGTTCCAAAATTTCCCAATATTTCGGCCAATTGGCCTCCATATTGAGCTTTTTCTGAGCCTTCGCTTCCATTGGTGACAGCCACCTTGGGGTTTTATTTTCAAGCAAGTCCTTATATCTTATCCAGACATTAAACAGTGCTTTTCTGACAATATGGTTTTTAAACGCTTTATGTGCTTTAACCTTGTCATACCACAAATATGCATGCCACCCAAATACGTTGTTAAAACCTTCTAGGTCCAGCACGTCAGTGTTTTCAAGAAGAACCCTGTACTGCACATGCTGCTTCTGTATGACACAGGTTATGCTGAGCCAAACTCTTTTACTGCAGTAGTTCATCAAGGGCCCAGTAGTTCTCTAGGTCTGGCAGGATTAGATTGTCAGCACATCAGTTTCTTTTATTAATATCCCTTTAATTTCAAGAATACTTCAAATATTTACAGTTTCTGCCTAATTGCCATTTACTTCCCAAAATCTTCGATCACTCTTTCTAACCCAGGTAACTAAAGGATTTCATGTGTATCATCTTCTGGACTCTAGTGGATTCTTGCTTCTTAGCATGAGGCATTGACTTGCTTTTCTTGCCTCCAAACTCACTTTTCCTTTTTCTTTGCAGGGATTTAACAACACAAAAGCTGTTACACTGGAAGCTTCATTCACCCCAGACTCTCAGTTTATAATGATTGGTAAGAGAGCCACACTCCTTTATGTAACTGGGGAACACCAAGTTTGAAAAGTAATTTCAGTGTCACTTCCAATGCAGCCTATGGCCTGAAAAGATTTCTGCCCTTCTGGGGTGTATCTGGCTGTTTTGTATATATTGGCTGTGCCATCAGTTGAAAATCAGTTGGGTTGCTTAATTAATTGGTCTCCTGTTGGTGCTTCATACTAATATTGCATAATCCAATTTACAGGATCAGAGGATGGGAAGATCCACGTCTGGAATGGAGAGACTGGAATGAAAGTCGCAGTGCTAGATGGGAAGCACACAGGCCCTATTACCTGTTTACAGTTCAACCCAAGATTTATGACCTTTGCCAGTGCATGTTCCAATATGGTAAGGAGACAATATGTTTCTACAGAACCCCAGCCAAATTGAATATGTGCATGCTTCGGACAAATGGGCACTCCTTATGGGTGTTTGAAAGTGAGTACAGCTTTTTATAGGGATGAGGACCTTGTCAAAGCAGAGTTGATTGCAGAGAAATCTACTTGCATTCAAGCCCCCTGCAGGGGAAGGTCAGGGACCCTGTGTGTGCATACGATGCTGTGAGGCTTGTGTGTGCACTCCTGTCCCCTTAACATACTTACAGAACAGTGCACTTCAAAATGCACATGGACTGTGTAAGCAGGAAGTATAAACTCTCAATTTATATTGAACAGTTCTTTGTAATTAGAAAATTGGCAGACATACTAGAATCACACTGATTTTGTTTCTTCTTTCAGGCCTTTTGGTTACCCACTATAGATGACTAATTCCGGATTCATCTTTTCCATTGGACAGTTTTCAAATTGTACTGACAGCAAGGTATTTGTGAAGACTGTAATAGAAGTACTGGGATTACATCGCAGACTTGAATGCTCCCATGCAGCACATCCTATTTATATTTTGGTATGCCAGGCTCTTTGCTGCATCCCTTCAAAAGGATTTTTTCATTTGGCTGCGCACCTACCAGTTCAGGAACTTGAGATCCTAGCAAGTATCGTCCCGAATTGTAGCAGAGCTTTGGTTTAATATTGGCACAGCAAATACATGTTGATACATCAGTCCCTTTTGTTTTTAATTGAGGGTTATCAATTGTAAGCTCCTAGGATTCTGGGCTTGTTTAAAAACAAACTTTCCAGAATGTTTTCTCTGTTCTGAAATATCAACAGTAAATACACTCTGCACTCCTTAAGTGCTTCTCTGTGCCACATAAATCTTTGTGCCATATATACAGCAACTACCCCATTCTTGGAGAAAGCTTATTATGCTACTAATACTCCCATGAGACTTTATAGACATTTTGGATTCCTCGACATGGCAGTGTCGAGGACATGCAGGGACTTGGCATGGATGATCCTAAGCAATAAAGAAGTTTTCAGCTGTAAAATGCATTTAAAAACAGACTGGATGGAAATGCATTCTCTGTACCCCTTCTTTCAGTGTAATTGCAACTGATTATGTAAATATGGGGAGGGGGTGGATGGAGCATATTTTTTTACTTTTAGATATTAAAAAGTAACATTTGGACCAATACAGTATTGTGGAATTAGTCTTGGTTCTTCACCTGCCTTTCACACATCGGTCTTCCTGTTCTCCATACTTCCATTCCATTCCTCCAAGGCTAGGCACAGCTTGTACTGCCCCCTTCCCTAAATATTTACACCCATTGTGAATGGGGTCATTCTGTTAGTGCAAATTTAGTTAACTCTGTCAAACTAACTTGATGGGACTGCAGAATTTCCAGTTTGTTTCCAGCTTGTTTGCTTTCTTGGCCTGTGAGTCCTTTTGCTGAAGAACAAAGGGACATGTAAGTAAGCATGTCATGTGGCAACAGGAAATGAAATCAAGGTCAGCTGTTCTATTATAGTGATGTGCATCTGGGCCTACTGCTTTGTAGTCTTCACAACCAAGTACTTAAAACTAGTGTCTGTACATTTCAACAATTATCATCCAAGTAAGCACAATTTCAGTGCTTCATGCTCTAGTGATTTTGAACTCCCATGAAGCCCTCACTCTTAAAGCCACTAGCATTTTGATACGGAACCATGTTTCCTTTGGCTACATCCTGGCTTTGCTAAGTGTTGTTCACACCTTAACTTTCCTCTGCATTTAGAACATGCTCTGGTGGTACATGTTACAGTACTGCATCCCAGGCATTCTCTACATCCTCCACAAAGAGCTGCTGCGCAGGAGCTGAGGAATGTAACATTTTAAGTTTGAGCTGCTGGGGTAGATAACTCCAATTGCCTTATTATTAACTAAATCGCATGGGTTTTTGTTGTGTTTGTTTCCAGCGGTTGCTCACTCTGCAGAGATAATGGCTGGATCTCTCCTGAGCCTGCCAAAGTTCAAGGATGCAGGTAGCCGCAGCTCAGGGATTTGCCTCAGCTGCATCAGCACACAACCTCCTGGCTTCTTCTGTTTTAATTCACAGTATGGCAGCACTAGCAGGACTGTCAGATGCAGTGTTGAGAGCCAGGGGCAGCACTATTACATCAATTATGTTCTTGGCAGTAATTCATTTGCATGGTGCTGCACTGAGCTGCATGTTCTTTTCTACGAGCAGTTCAGTTAATTTTTTTTAATCATAAAATCTTGCCCACTCTGCCACAAAAAGAGAAGTCAATGAGTGCTTTACTTTTTGCCTTGAGTAAGCTGCTACTCTACTGAAGCTGGTTCTCAGTAGGCAGTGGAGTGTATGTGTACTGCATTTACTTTTGCCGGGAGCTAGTTTTGATCAAACCATTTTTTAAAGAAAAGCACTGTTTGCAAATGAACTCATATTTGTTAACTGTATTATGTATCCTAAGTTACATGTTGCATTTTGTAAACCTGTATTTGCAGACTTTACAGATACGTTAAAGTCAAGAATAAATTGCAGTATTAAGACACAAGGAGCACTGCTGTCCTCCATTAACTTTGCCACGTAGTGTTCCCACCATGTATGTAATGGATGTTTCCTGGCTACAGTATTTCTTCACTCTTGAACATACTGTATCCTTCCAGCAAAGTGTGCAAGTCATCAATTTTTCCAGAGTCACCGAAGCTAAAATAGATGCATCTTCTGAAGCAGTTGCTAGATGTTAAGATAAAGATTTTATGAAGATCTACTGCACTGCCAGGAGGTAAGATTCTAAGGCCTGTTCAGTTATGAAAGTGACCCTCAAACCTCTTAACTTTTTTTTTTTTTTAAAACATAGGTTTATTGGCCCTAAATGTTTTACACCAAGGAAGGGGAACCTTATCCCTGGGTGGCCAAATGTGGCCTTCTAGTTCACACAACTTCACTAGAGTCCAGCCTCCACCATTTCCCCAAGTGATTTTATCTGTCTGCAATGTGTTCTTGATCTGTCTTACTTGCCTAGATGGAAGACTGAGGGTTGTGCAGCTAATAAAAACCAGACTGCAACGTAGAATAATATATAAAGGGAAGAGTCACAACTGCTGCTCTGACCTATTTAAAACCCCCATATAGTTGCCCATGAGTGAATGTGGCCCGTGGACTGAAAAAGTTTTCCCCACCTGTGCGCAGATAGTCTATTAGAGAAATGGGAGCACTGTTGGTCAAACAATTCTGGGCAAAAACTTGGGTAATTTGTTTCTGCTTCTGTTCTATAAAAATACACGTAGTTTGGTTTTAGACTTTTATAGCATGTAGGTGTATGGTAGACTATGTGTTCAGCTTTAATAATATGTATGCCTGTTTGCTTACTCTTCCATCTGGACTCATTTTAAAAAAATATCTGTTAAGTGGTTCCATATGCAAGCTACTGTCTTGGTGCTTACAACTTACTATTGCCCGTTTAACTCTCAGCTTCATAGCTTTATAGAGTACTGCCCATTTCAAAAGAGATAAATGAGGATGCATTAGGAATTATAGTTTTAATCAAAGAATGAACTTCACTGGGTATGTGAGCTAAGGCTGCAGTCTCATGCAGAAACAAATCCCATTAAAACCTGACTGGCTTGTCTAACAAGGAACAGAATGTGTGTAAAGTTGTCATGAAATGCTAAATACAGTGTTTGTACAAAAATATATTGTAGGTTGATTTTACTGTTAAACCATGTATGCTGTTTGAAGAGAGTATTGTACCTGTAGGAGACAAGACTGTCTTTGGTCATCTCCTTCTGCCCCCTTCAGTTTTCCTTTTCTAAATGGCACTCAAAATTGTAGGGTTTTAGAAGCTACTGAGTAGTTTGGCCCTCATTGGCCCATATTGATGGTTTGTTATTTTTAAAATAATGTTCTGTCTTCTAGGTATGCTGGTAAGAGGATAGGTAGCAATATGCTTTAGTTAACCTGGGGGTAGTCAACCTTTTTATACCTACCGCCCACTAAGGCATCTTTCTTGATGGTAAAATTTCCTTACCGTCTACCAGTGCTTGATGGAAGGATTCAGCTTGTGCCGTAGAACCCCCTACCACCCACCTAGAATCCTGAAACGCCCACTAGTAGGGACCAGGTTGACAACCCCTGGGTTAACCTATCTGGCTTGGATTTGCATTGAGATGGATGTGCCATGAAGAATTGTTCTGAGGCATAGTGAGGATGTTACACGTTACCATAGCAAACCCATCCCATGTTAGCTAGGGCTGTTTCATACTCAGAACATATTAAAGTTTCTGATGGAAAACCCATTTACCACCAATGGAAAAAGCAGGATGCAGTCGTATGAGACAGACCAGCGGATTCTGTTTATCTCTTTAGTTAAAACAGAAATAATTAAATACATTATGCAGTTAGAATGATTCTCAATTTGGTGTTTTTTATGCTGAACTTTACTGCAGGGTATATCTGTCAACTTGAATAAATGTACCATTTATTTTAAAATAAAAACTAGATATTTTATTGCATTTAAAAATAACCATGTTTAAGTCACAACAATATACAAAATTATAAACAAAATACAAGGTTGTCTGACCTAAAAAAAGAATTATTTTTTTTTTTAAAGTGCTCACCACGTACCAGTACCTCAGCTTCAGCTTGAAGTTTTGAGGCAAAACTTGGTAAACACTATATTTAATACAGATTCCATTAAAAGACTGGGCAAACCCCTGTACAGAATTGTTGCATGAAAAGCACTGGGACTTTCACTTAGTGGTTTGTGGTCATGTTTTCAGTGTATTGATGTAGCTTAACATCTTGCTGTAACTTCTGTGAGCCATGATAGAAGCTGTTTAGCTTGGTACATTTTGTAAGATATACAAAGTTGCTGCTAAAATCCCATTTAAGAATAAAATGGATTAAGTTCACATTAGTGGCAGCAGGCCATTTCTTTGATACTAATGCTATTGCAAAAGAAAGTCCTGAGGGAAGCTTCCATCTTGCTCCACTTACTGAGTTAGAAAATCTTCTTTAAGGAAGTGGGACTTTACAGCTGCCCCAAGGGAATGACACCAAAACTGTACAAGTTGCGTTTTCTGCATTTGCTTTCCAATGACGACAGTGAAAAGTTGTTGTTTTTCCACATGGCAGCTGTTGGCCTGGAAATGTTGTCACTAATAGCAATAATACCATCATACAATAATTAACTTGCTCAGTAGTCATGGGGTGTTCAGAACTGTGTTTGCCATTCCACTGTTGTACAGTGGAATTGCAAACACAGAAATGTCATCATAAGAAGCAGGCCTGTTATTCCCCATAGTCCAGTAGTATCCATCCTTCTTTCCCCTTGCTTTCTGCACCAGGCACTTGGCTAGTTCTGTAAACCTATAAAAACAAACAATTACTTTGTTATCTCCCAAAGCAGTGATTACCAATCCTAAAGACAGGTGAAGGATGAACTACAGTACTTAAGGCACTGAGAGTTTGGTTTACTGTTCTGGTACTGCTGCCCACACACTACAGTGGAAGCAAACCGTTTCAGCATCCAATTTGAGTCTTGAGTACTGCCAACAGCTCTGGTAAACTAATTCTCTAGCAAAGCAATCTCAGCTAAATGTAAAAGGAATAGAATTTTGTCAGAGTAACTCTAAGAAGATAAGAAAAGGATGTTGGTTCAGGCTAGTGGCCCATCTAGTCCAGCATCTTGTTCTCACAGTGTCCAACCAAATGACTGGGAAGGCTACAAGCAGGTCAGGAGTACAACACATCTCTGCCCACCAGCAATTCCTAACAATTTTGAAGACTTGAGACCACACAGGTTAGCTTCTTGTTGCCTTTACCTCTGCTTAAAATGCTTCTCTGTACATCAGTATCAGTTACAGAGAACTTCATTAAGTATGGAAAATGTTCAAAATGTTTGAAAACCAAAACTCTGCTTCTGATTGGCTGCAGGAAGCAGGACGTTCAGCTTCCAAAAATAGTTCGCAAACCGGAACAGTCACTTCCGGGTTTGCGACGTTCGGGAGCTAAGCTGTTTGAAAACCAAGGTACAACTGTATAGGTGATCAAGATAACTCAGCCTGAGAAAAAAAACTCCCTCACAGTAAACATGCCTGGGGGGTGGGTAGAGGCACCCACATGGTCTCTTATACACATAGAACATACACCTCACAGAGGCTTCATTTTTCAGTGTGCAAAGATGAGCTAGCCACTGCTTCATTCTCATGCAGCTATTTCCTGAACAGCTGAGCAATGAGGAAGATTGTGGGGAGGATTCTCTCTGCTCATCACATCTTTTCATCAAACAGCTGACTGCAGTTCCTGGTAGGAGGAGCTTGAGAAGAGAGGCTTTGTGGGACAGATCTGGCCCATGGACTGCCATTTCCCTACCACTGCTATGCCAGAACACATGTCAACATAAGCAAAAGCAGAGGTGTGCGTATTCAAATATTTTCCAGTGTGTTTCCCCAATTCTTTTAGCACAAATGCTCTTCAAATATTTTCTGCTAACATACCTGTATGGGTCAGATGTGTTCTCCTGGACAAAATTCCTGACAATATGAGCCACATCGTCATTGGACATAACATCCCAAAGACCGTCAGTTGCCATGATGAGGACATCGCCTTCCTTGATGTTTTGTTTGGCAAAGTCTAATACTTCAACCTAGTCAGAATTGATGAAAAGATGCAAGCTTTCTTAACTGCTATCCTCAAACAGCTGGATGTTTGCAGTCTCCCTAGAGAATGGTTTAAATGGGGAGCCTGGAGTCCAGCAACTTGTGCGGAGCCACAGGTCTGCCACACATGCTTTAAATACATGTCACTACAATAAGGGCATACAAGACAAGGCCTGCTGGATGGGACCAAAGGCTATCTTCTAGCACAGCATTATTTTTTTTCTAATGGGGGAAGCCTGATGTTCCTGAGAAACTTAGATGCATAGTATGGAGGCAATAGCTCTCCCCTGTTGACAAACACATCAGGAGACCCTCAAAGTCAGTATACACATGCATGTCTAATTGGGTTCCTAATGACTAGCTACCCATTCTGTTTAGGGCTGCAGCACTATATGGACCTACATTTTTGGGGGTGGTTTTTTAAAAAAAATAAAATCTGGCAAAATACTAGAAATAGTGACAAAGCTGAATTAACTTTACCTGAAGATATTCAGAGGACCCAGAAAGGGGAAAGAAGCTGAACTACAATGGTAAAACCATGGCTGAAAAGACTTAGTGTGTCCTATCAATTTCCTACCTTTGGAATGCAGGACAGGAAAGGCTTGACTTCAACATCTGTTTCAATAACTCTCAACTGATGATCTCCCAGGCCTCGTGAAACAGCCAGGGTGCCTAGCAAGCGAGCCTAAAAAAGGATGAGGCATCAAGGAGTGGAAGAGTGTCACAAGCATAGAGCCAGTAGTAATTCCAAGTATTTTCAAGTATCAAGTATAAACTTATTTAAAACATTCATCTTTTCAATGTAATAGTCACAACAGATCACCACACACATTTAAACACAAAGAACAATGTAATTAAATCTAAAAAAACCAATGTTTCCAGCAGCAGCACACTTCTCAAGAGCCACATAAAAGCCATTAAGCATCAAGAGCTTGGGAATGCAATTTTGTTTTTATCTGGTCCCTAAAGATAATCATACTTGACAACATGTAAACTGACAAGGGGACGTTTCATAGTGGAGGCACCACTAACAAGGTAGCTCCACACTGTTGGTATGTATGCAGCTGTGCAATATTTTACATGTTGAGCATGGTTCCAACTATGGAAAGGCAGCATACAACTAAAATTTATGTATGTATGCATGCATAAAAAACAGTATAGGAAGGACACACTGGCTCTTCCCGCCCGCCCCCCCCTTTTTTTTGCTTGCAAGGGTCCTGCAGGCACACCTGTTTTCCATGTCCATGGATAAGAGGATACTTGAGGTCATCTTTTGCTACCGTCTTGTATCCCCTGAAACGAGAAAGGTCATTTTTGCAGTCCTTCTGTCATACCATGGCCACAATCCAATATGAAGATAAACAGGTTTAAACACACTAAATAAATGTAAAACATATTACTCCGTGGCTGCAGTCCTTGTATATAAATGTCCCTTTAATGCAGACATATTAACTTTTCTACTAACTGCAGTACTCCATTACACAAGGAGGTTCGCAAGGTTGTACAGGAAGCCTGTAGCACAGTTAAGAAAGTAATCAGTGGCGTCAATCCCAAAGCCATTTCAGAGCACAGGCCTAACAGGTGGGTGGATTCAGAATTGCAGCTCAGATCCCCAGAAAGCACAGAACTGTAGCATTGGAAGGGCCTCATCTAGTCCAACCCTCTGCAATGCAGGGATATGCAGTTGTCCCACAAAGAAATCAAACCTGCGACCCTGGCATTATCAGCACCATACTCTAACCAGAAGCCAGACTACCATTAATTAACACCATTATTGAGCAGCTTCCATCTCACATTTATGTTAAAAAAAAACAGCTGCACATTACTGATGGGTTCTTGGGAGCAAGCTTAGGCTTTTCTTCAATCCTTTGAGGGATTGAGAGACAAGAGCAGTGAGACAACCACTGTATCTCAGAATTTGATGTTGTCTCCTCTTGAAAGCCAAACACCTTTCCCCCCTATAATGTAAGCCAGGCATAGGCAAACTTGGACCTCCAGATGTTTTGGGACTCAAACTCCCATCATCCCTAGCTAACAGGACCAGTGGTCAGGGATGATGGGAAATGTAGTCCCAAAACATCTGCACGGCCGAGTTTGCCTGTGCCTGATGTAAGCCATCCTGCCAGGTTAAGAAAATAGCATGGCTGAAGCAGATAGGCAACTAGAGACCAATAAGGGGAGAGAGATGAAGGACTGCCATGCGGAAAACGGTGGCTGGTACTTTGCTGCTCCAAAGGGCAAGACCAGATTAAGTGTAGGACTGGAGAGTGTAAACAGCAAGGAAGCAGATTTTCAGCTAAAGACTAGAATTATCTTCCTAACGACTAGAGCTATTTGACAGCAAAACAGATTGCCTTGGGAGATTGTAGATGCATTTAAGCAGGGGCTGGGTGGCTGTCAGGTGTTACAGAAGCATCCTGCATTGAGCAGAGTGATGACCTCCAATGGCATTTCCAACACAATTCCACCACACAAACACTGCTCATCCAGGGCATCCTCTTATCCAAGCCAAGAGAGGCTTGAGTGACTCACCAGCCTTCCATTGAGTAATCTCGATAAAGGACCTTCTGGCCCACATCATCGCCTCTCAATCTCCTTGGAAACTCAAACCGTATGAACTCATCTGCCAGAAGCTCTGGGTACATGAAAGCCTGAGAAGAAAAAGAACATTCAAAAATACTTAAAATGGAAGCATCATTTTCAGGGGAATGTGGTAGAGAAAGTGGGAAAACTTGTGTTGCGTATTCTGCCACTGCCAAGTCCCTAATTATCAGTGGCATAATACTCTATCTCTATGGAGATTGGGAATAAAAATCCTTAAATCACTGGTAGAATATTCTAATTTCAAAATTAAAACAAGGGTCCCCAAACCATAAAAGCAATAGGAATGATATTTGCAGGGAAACCTGTTTCCTTACAGAGATTGCTTACAGAGATTGCTCCTCACTGGATATGAATAACCACTGTTTGTGCAGTCTAATTAACATTATTCTGAATGACAGAATATAGATCTATTCTATATAAGGCTATACTCAGACACTTAGCACTTCACACCACTTCAATGCTTTGTTTAGACTAGCACTAAAGCGCAATACAAAGCAAGAGTAGTGGTGATCTCAGAATGAATCTACTCTGCTGTTCAGGATGACCCTACCACTCATGAGAGATGGGTAGTGCAAGACAGACATGTTGCCATTAGAAAATATGCAGAAAGGTGTGTGTTTTTCTTACCAGATGTTGGATTCTCTGCCTCTCTGTTTCTGGAGTGAATTCAGTACTCAGGGGGACAATGCTTTGTTTTCGAACAAGGAGTGCCCTAAATAAAATAATATAAAAACTGAGGTTAACTCTTTCAAGTGGACTTCTCTCATTACATTTTTTCAGACATAGGAATAAGTGACAGATGTATGTGATTGTTGCTATACAACCAGCTTCTTTAGTAAGACAGGAGGTGGGGAAGAAAATCCTTTTTGGGCCAGCCCAAGAACTAAAGATATGTATGCCACCACCCTACAAGTGTACGTTTGAAATACCTTTCATCAATATTCAAAATAATACAACAAAGAGACTATCTCTCCACAAGCTATGCCTGAAGAGTGGCAAGAAGTTAATCCATAAGACAGCTCTACTCCCGAAGGCAAAAAGTGAAATTTCAATTTAGGTTCAGCACTCTTCTTTAAAAAGCATGCTCACAGCGTCTTTATATTTTTCCAAGGAAAAACAGCCACACAGGACCTCCATTCAGATCAGGACTTCTAAATTCTGGGAGGAGAGGTTTAACCCTTTTCTCACTACACCAGTTTACCATTGAAAATCAACACAACACACACACATCTGTTTCCACACAAAGGTTCAAACAGGGAAGGGATTTTCATTAGGAACCTGATGTAGGGAGGAAAGGGTTAAACACAATTCCTGACCCTGATTAAGGCCTCTGGCAGCTGCTTTTTTTCGATTTTAACAAGCATGCTTAATGTAATATATTCAGCACTTAACAAAACATCTAATTTTGTTAAACAGAGAAAACTAACATTAACTGAATATCTTTCTTACTCAAGAGACATGAAGAATCCTGCTATATAACTAGGCTAAAAGGACAATGTTGGGTCTCATCCTAGGTTGCATTTGGATGTGAACTCACCTGCTGTCACCTGCGTTTGCCACATAGAGCTTTCCCTGCAAGTAAAGTGCAGCTAGTGCAGTACAACCTCCTGATTGGCCAGTAGCTTCCATCTCCTGACCAATTACATCATCCTGTTGGGGAAAAACATCGGATGATGATGCAAAGCAGGTGCCGTATTTCTCAGCAAAGTCTGAAATCTAACTTTATGACCACTGTTAGATAACTAATCATCCGAACAATCAAGTCAGTTCAAACAAACACATGCCACTTTCTTTTCATGCGATTATGTTTTCACATACATGATCATGCAGCAAACGTTTCTTGTGACTTGGCAGCTTACATGGGAACAGATATGTCATAGTAAACTTTATATACCAAGCAGAAATGCATAGGGTACTAAGCCTGCATCGGCACAACATCTGACAATGAGTCATGGAATAAACAGCCACATCAGCAGAAACTTCCAAGGGCAAGGCAGCTGGTTTGCCTGGCTGTGAAAACAACAGGATCTTGAGCAAGATTTGCACCAATGGCCATCTGTGATATAAGGAGCCTTAACCCTCTCAGAGACAATAAAGGGGGAAACAAGGTCACTCACACATTCCTGGAAGGCCTTCTCCAGTGCTCCAATTACCACATCCTCCTGCCGAATTTGTTTTTCTTCCACGAACTGTGGGTCACTTTGGCAAACGCACTGCCCACTGAGGTGCATCGGGGGACGCTCTTGAGTGATGCCTTCCACCACATCCTCCAATTTCTGCTTGATGCAACAGTGCAAGTAGTTGGAGGCCAAGATAGATGCTTCTGGCCCACCATGACCATCAAACAGTGCCCAGTAGTGGCCAGTCAGATACTGAAAGTCAAGCATTGAGACTTTTACCACCATTTAGTACACTCTTCTATGCTGTTGCCAGAACATCTGAGGGTGCAGCAGGCTGCATGTTTGCTTTGTATGTGGGAGCCAGACTCACAATTCTCACTTAAGCAAGTCACCAATCACTCAACCTCACCTGTTTCAGTGTTGTCGTGAGGATTAGAATTATGAACCACTCTATAGTCTGAAAACTGAAGCAGACAGGTGTGTGCTTCAGGAATCAATTCATATTATTATTAAAACATTCTAAAACACAACCCTCACATCTGCTTGTTAGGATCTTTGGATACAAATTCATTCACACAAGAGCAAGCATTTCCTCTTTTGCTGTAAGCCACAATTATACAGTGGTACCTCGGGTTAAGAATTTAATGCGTTCTGGAGGTCCGTTCTTAACCTCAAACTGTTCTTAACCTAAGGTACCACTTTAGCTAATGGGGCCTCCCGCTGCCACCGCAATTTCTGTTCTCACCCTGAAGCAAAGTTCTTAACCCGAGGTACTATTTCTGGGTTGGTGGAGTCTGTAACCTGAAGCGTCTGTAACCCGAGGTACCACTGTACTCCAAAGTGTACCATAGAATCTGCTAGTTCCACAAGGGCATCAGCTGCCCACTCTCTGACGTACAAACTTCCTCTATATTCCAAGTTTTACTCTGAGCTTTGCTGTTGTTGTTGTTTCCTTTATCTAAATGGATTTGCCAGGCAGATACAAACCCGCAGCTCATGCCTTTCACGGAATTCTCAGAATGTTGAATGAGGAATTGAAGAACAAACCAAGCCATTCAGCGTATGCCGCAAGAGGAATAGGAAGATGCCCTAATTGTTTAGAAATACTTGTGCTTCACTCATATTGACCACACATGACTATGGTCCAGAAATAATTAGCCGACTGAATGGAAGCCAGATAGTTATAAATGGGAGAGAATGTCATACTTGTGAGAGCAAAACAGTTAGCAAAAGTCACTTAAGACAAAGCTAGACATAGCTGCCACTTTTAATGGGTACTGAACCTGGCAGTCCAAAGAGGAAAGGAAGAAATACATTGTCATCATGACCTTTATCTCTGATCAATGCAAATAAATGACACAACCTCCATTTTCCACAATGTAAGAATGCCTACCATGACATCTGACTGGATGTGGATATAGCATTTTGTAATCACTCAAAATATCTTACTAGATATAATGATTATGTATGTTTTGTTTCAATTTTCTGACTGACAGTAGTTAAATTAGTATGTTGGTCACTATGGAACTGCTCTCTGCCACAGCCTCTTCCTGCTCACTAAATCCTGTTGCCTCTTCAGCTTCTGACACCTCTTCCTCCCAATCTTCTCCCTCTGACCACTCATCATCGTCCCACCACCAATCCCTGGGTTCTGAGCCTTCTTCCCTTGGGGGTTCCCCAGTTGGTGCCGCCCACCTTTCCTCTGTTTCCAGCCAGTCCATGACAGCCGCTATACTGAATATGGAATCTTCGTAAATCATCTCAAGACGTTACAAAGTTGGGGACAAATATAACTGCCAAGCAATTAAACTCATGCACTCTGTATATGTTCAGAGAAATTCACCTCTAGACTTCATGAAGTTTCAGAACTGAATCAAAACAAGTTCTGCCATAGGCTGAGCCTTGGTAAATCCTGGCTCTAATTAATCCCTGCTGTAGACGGAAATGCTACATCTGAACTCACCTCACTAGTGCACAGAATCAGCCACTCCTGGTCCTCCTCTTTGCCATGTTGCCTCTTTCTGATAGAGATATGACAGCATGTTGCTTGGTCTTCATTGAATTCTGATTTTTCTGCGTTGATGGTTCTGATGGCACAAGAAACAAAATCACTAGAACAACTGAAGCAATTCCATTTTAGTAGGTCCAATGTAATTGAAAACTAGCGATTTTATGGTTGATGACATAATTGACTTCAAATGACACCCTGCAGGTGCCAAGAAGCTGAGTAGTCTTGGAGCCTAAAAGCAGGATGCAATCTGTTTTATCAGACCTTATAAGATACTGGCGAGTAGGAGAGTACACCCAAATCACCAAGACTGGGAATCTATAGAAATCCAAGCTGCAGGCCTTTAGTTCAGGGCTAGCAAACATAATCCTAGAGCAAGCAAGTGCCACAGTCATTCATAGGGCCTTTGAGAAAACAGTGAGAAGTGGTGTGATAGGAAATACCTGCATATTGCACGTGGTTATGGAGAAGGGAGCAGGTCTCCCTTTACACTCTGGGTCCTCTACGTTTATTCTAGGGGCTCCATGTTTTTTCTGTAGGTGCTGAACTGGGTGCCTTTCCTGTCGCCTTTCCTCTGTTCCAAGCACAGGGGCACCGCAAGAATATAATTTAGCCACAGAATCCCCATTAATCCGATTCATTATGGCCTGGGGTGCCTTGAGAGATGGTCAGGGGCGCCGCAAGCAACACTGGCCTCTGTCCCTCTTTACTTCCCTCCCTCCTTGGATGCCCTCCCATGTCTATGTCTCCATCAGGCTGCTAAGGCTGAGGGCATCCTCTTCCCACCCCCTGGTGGGCAGCATGAGGAGACACCTCTCTTTGAGGTGGGGGGGCATCTCAGAGACCAGGGCCAGTGGTGGAAGCTACCAAGAAGAGGGGAGTGGAGCCTGAGGGAACACTCCACAAGGCTTGGAGTGTGTTTCCCCAGAGAGGAGCCACAGAGCAAATGTAGTTGGTCAAGGGAGCCGTGGACTCAAAAAGGTTGAAAACCTCTGCATTACGGAGATAATGACTTAGCACAGGAAATGGCTGACGTTCTAAATGTTCTTTCCTCTTTCTAAGCAAGAAGTGTCCTCTTTCAAAAGATATTGCCCCACTGACTGACTCAACATTCACCCACACCAAGAGGCAAGACTTGCTATTTTGCCGTGCTCTTGTTATGTAGCATAATCTATTGCAGCAGTGGGTCAACATACTTTCAACATTAAGTTTACTGATTTATTTTATTAGATTCCTACAACATATTATTTTAACATCATGCATATACACACACACACACACATAAAATAAAGTATTTCACCCTAGCCCAGAATAAGTTTAGTTTAAGCACTGCATCCAAAATTACACCCAAATAATATAATATTCCTATCTCAGACTACCATTTGTATGGAATGTGATAGAAACTTTATGCCAGGCTTCCTCAAACTCGGCCCTCCAGATGTTTTTGGCCTACAACTCCCATGATCCCTGGCTAGCAGAACCAGTGGTCAGGGATGATGGGAATTGTAGTCGCAAAAAAACATCTGGAGGGCCAAGTTTGAGGAAGCCAAGCCTGCTTTATGCTAACAAAGTTTTCTAATGTGATGGGAGTAATCTGTTTTCGTTTTTGGTCATGTACATAATAAAGCTGTATCATGGCCTTTGGCTAATACAATAAACTTATGGAAAAAGATGTACTAATCAGTTGCAAAGGACTCTTTATGCATCAAACCATGTGCCAATTTTATTAGTAATTTTTTTCACAAGTGCTTTTTGGCTTACTTTAGTGTACCAGATGTCAAAGAAGCACCCTCCAAATTCTTCCAGTATCTTATTATTAGGAGTTTGCCCACTAGTAAAAGAGAACTTGTTAGGGTTTCTGAACTGTAAGTTAGCGTTATTTTTCCTAAAAAGATATTACAGTCAAACATAACTATGCCTGCTGCTAGTGGTGCATGAAGGGGTAAGAACCACAGAGTTATATTGCTAGACAGACTCAGTTAGGTCATGCCCCTTCTCCTTGCAGAGGAAGTGAAGCCTTTCTACTCTCTCTCTCTCTCTCTCTCTCTCTCTCTCTCTCTCTCTCAGCATCATGTAATAAACCAGAACAGACATGCTTAAACTAGCTCTAAGCTTGGAGCAAGTTTCTGAAGCTATCTTACTGCATTTTCCACCCAATTTAGCATATATTATCCTTGCTACTGCATGAAACAATGCAGACCTTGAATCGGTAAGTAAACATTTTAAACTTACTTAACAGTTTGTGTCTGCTCATTGCAAAAGGGATAGAAAGAGGTCAGCTATTACGTGCTAATAAAAGGGTTTAACAACCTATATTCCTAATGCTATACTGCTGTGCAACTTTTATGAGTTTAATACTCTGTTACTGGGGGCTTTCTGTGCACTGACCCCGCATTTTGAATCCAGGACCCAGCCATTTCTTTTTGTTGTTCACCCAAACACATGGGTCCATAGGGATTCGAATCTTTAATTTATTCCCACAAAAAGACTGAGCACGTTTAGAGGTGTTTTGTCCAGGAGCTGCTTTTATTTCACCAAATATTTCCTCCAAGAACTGAGCCACTCTCCTGCATATCCACCGCATATGTTGAATAAAACCTAACACTGCACATCCTCTCCAACAGCTTGGTGAATAGGAGGAGCTAATATGGCCTAAACATATAGGGAAGAGATGCCATTTTTGCAGTATTTTAAGTGCTACCTATTTTGTCCAGGTCAATAAAGATTTTCTGGCACACTGAAGTCCAGTCATATTGATTGACAGTAATAATACAGTCTTTTCCCTGCCCGCTGCATAGCAATTCCCCAAATTGTCTGGAAAGCAGCAGAAACAACTAAAAATTTGTCTGCCCCTAATACATTAAGGAGGTGGGTGGGCTAAAACATTATCATTTGTTTTGGTCCAATATCACTGTGGCAGCTCCTGCAACAAGGAAGCTCTTGTTTCTATTCCTACAACCTCACTAACCTCAACATAAGCAACTTGTCTTCTTTCTTTCACGCTGAAAGCAGTTTTTGTCAGTCACATGGTGTTGCTTCTTTATTTTCTCTGAAAGTGTTTGTTCATATAGAGTTAGAAAACCTGCTGTGTTTGGCTCCCCACCCCACCCCCTTGAGGATTTGTTGACCTCACAGAATGCAATTCATCTGAAGAGTTCAGTCTGAGGACAGGTTTATAATTTCAACAGGCAGAGAAAATAAGATTTCCTGTAGCTTTATGAAAACAAATCATTAAGAAAAAAGAGGCACTTGATACAATGGCCTCAGTTTCAGTTTCAACCTCAAATTCAATGTGTTTTTCTACGTGTAGAGCAGTGTTTCTCAACCATAGGGGCATAAGTATTTTTTTTAAGTACATTAGAAGTAAAACATTAACAATCTTAAAATATAAAAGCATGAAGTATTATGTTCAGAAGGTGAGAAGATCATATGCAGTGTATTACACGATGTGCACGTCATCATGAGTGCACAATAGTTTGGCGTTCTCTCATGACCAGTGCAATGCACAATATACACAACTGAGCAGTTCACTGTGCATGGTGCAGTTAATTAGTCATGTGTTTATTTGTGCTGTTTATTTCCTTTACTCTTGGAAAATTGAACATTTATTTACTTATTTACTGGGTTCTTTGGAGGAATGGTGGAATAATAATATGATATGATATGATATGATATGATATGATAAACAGTCATACCTTGGGTTGAATGTGCTTCAGGTTGAGCGCTTTCGGGTTGCGCTCCGCGGCAACCCAGAAGTAACACAGCGCGTTACTTCCGGGTTTCGCCACTCACGCATGCGCAGATGCTCAAAATGACGTCATGTGCATGTGCGGAAGCGGCAAAATGCAACCCACGTATGCACAGACGCGCCGTCACATCTTACGTTCTATTCAGGATGCAAACAGGGCTCCGAAATGGATCCCGTTCGCATCCCAAGGTACCACTGTAATATAATATAATATAATATGATATGATAAATATAATATTAGTAATAACAACCTCTGAGCAATTTACAGTAACACGCCATATGCTACTGCTATTACATAGCAAATATTCTTGAATTAAAGACAGGTGTGTTGCAATGAGCAAGCAGGAGAACATGGTATCAGTGTTCTTGGAATCTGGCAACCCTGTAAAGAATTTGACCTTTTTCATAAAAGCCTGGGAGTACACTCTTTCGGCACATTCAATGCCTAATATTTCATCAACGGAAACCTCTCCCTCCCCCCTTTCTTCGAGTACTGCACTTGCAATCTTCCAATCCGCCCACCCCCCACCCCAAAAAAGGAAGACTGGGTATGAGATGGAGAGATCCTGGAACTGAGTATTAATGTATTGATCCCAGCTGGCTTTGCTCACTAAACTCCTCAATCTCCTAGTTCTAGAATGGACTGTATAAGTAGAGAGACTGGGCCAGGGCCAAGGACAAATTTCATCCTAAAGCACAGAGGCCAATTCTGCCAAAGTTAAGCTCGTGTATGTGCCACTGCTTTTACTGGGGAGTTAAATCCCTTCAGCTGAACTCAATAGGACTTCAGGTGCTTCACTTTAGCAGAATCCTGCCCACAAAGTCAAAGCATTAAAATAAGGAGGATGCTTGTAGGCACTAAGTCACACCATTTATTTAGGTTGTTGCACCCTTATCATGGTCTGTGGTATTACTACATAGGTACAAGAAGGGGGAAGCAAATTGCTTATTTCTCACTTGCCTCCCCTTTCTATCCATTCTGTGCAACAGGATGGATGCTGCTGTCGTCAAAGCACCACTGTGTCAGAAGAAACCAGTCTTGCCACACATTTCCTTGCCATACAACTATTAAAAGTACAAATGTTCTCTTTGGTAGAGAATCAAGCAATTCAAAGCAGCCCCACATTGCACCATTGTGGTTTACAATCTCTTGCTTTACCACTTGCAGCCAGGAACATGCAGGTTATGCTGAGGTGGTTGCTATCTGTACCTACCCTTACAGACTGTGCATTATTGTAACTTGTAATAACCTTACAGGGACGCGGGTGGCGCTGTTGGTTAAACCACAGAGTCTAGGACTTGCCAATCAGAAGGTCAGCGGTTCGAATTCCCTCGACGGGGTGAGCTCCCATTGCTCGGTCCCAGCTCCTGCCAACCTAGCAGTTCGAAAGCACATCAAAGTGCAAGTAGATAAATAGGTACCGCTCCAGCGGGAAGGTAAACGGGGTTTCCGTGGGCTGCTCCGGTTTGCCAGAAGCGGCTTAGACATGCTGGCCACATGACCCGGAAGCTGTATGCCGGCTCCCTCGGCCAATAAAGCCAGATGAGCGCCGCAACCCCAGAGTCGGTCACGACTGGACCTAATGGTCAGGGGTCCCTTTACCTTTAATAACCTTACAATATTGCCCAGAACAAAGGCTACAAAATTATGATTTAACCAAAGCAGTCCAGCCCATCACTAAGAGTGAGTCGTGGCAAAATAGTGAGAGAGGGACTTGAACCAGGGAACCCAGATGTAAGACTAGGGAAAAAACATTTTAAAATTTCAAAACAGCATCAGATTTCTCGATCTCCTTGATACTGCAGGGACAAACAGAAATGTGCGGGCCTGCTTTCACTCTCAGCCAAAAGGGGCGTCCGCACACGTGTGCGTGAAAAATAAATGCACTAAACTAGGTAGGCAAGCAGGATTATCGTGCCATATTTTAAAGTCCTGGCTTTTTAAGCTCTACGGGGCTACTTGCTGCTTTTGCACACCTCTAGGCTTAACCTCCAGCCGCTGCCGATTTGGCATGGTAGTCCTCAAGAGGTGTTTGTTTTTTTAAAGTTTATTTTTAAGCCGCTGCTTTGCAAGAGGCATCCCCAAGTCATGCGCCCCGGCCGCCCACTTACTCTGCATAGCCCGCGTTCCACTGGAGGGGCTTGTCTCGCGGCGGGCAGGCGACGGGGCGCTTGCCAGGCTGCCTCTCCCCGGCCGAGGCAGCTCCGCGCAGGAGTTTGGGCCGCCTGTACGGCAACCGGGGGAGCTGCGGCTGTGGCCGTGTGCCTCCTTCCTCCGTTGGCCGCTGCTGCTGAGGAGCGCCTTTCCCTCGGCTCGCCGCGCTCAAGAAGCGCCTCTTGAACCAGTCCGAAGACATGAAGCGAAAGAGACAAGGACCCGCTCCCTCGCCTCTCCCGCAGCCAACTGAGAAGCCCAGCGCTGCTCCAGATCCGGGGAGCCGTTCCCGCAGCCAATGGGCGTCGCGCTCGTGACTCACCAGCGCGCGGCAGCCAGTCAGCGCGGCGTTGCTCCGCCGGGTGTCGCCAGGCGCCACGCACCTTCCTTGGTTTCTACTTCCTTGTTTTTGTTTTCTCCCTCCTTTTCTCTGTCTCCCAGAGCTATGCTGTTAGGCAGGTGGCTTCCAACATGGGGCACCCCACACACACTGGGGGGCAGTTTGATTTTTAACGGGGGCAATTCGAGAATGAATTAGACCAAGTTTAGGCTTCCTCCACCTGAATAGGAGTTCACTTTTTGAATAAGAATTATATGGGGGGGTCAGGATTTTAGAGATGCTTAGGTGGGGCATGGCCAAAAAATGGTTGGGAACCACTGCTTTAATATTTTTTTAAAAAACAGATCAGGACAGTGGCCCACCCAGTCCAGCATCCTGTTCTCACAGTGGCCAAACCGCATGCCCTGTGGGAAGCCCAGAAACAAAAGTGATACCCAGCAGCTTGCTTTCAGAGGCGAGGCAGGACATAGCTGACAGAGCTGGTCCCCACTGATAGACTTATGTTCCCTGAACTTGTCCCATCCTCTCTTGAAGCCACTGGTGCCTCCTTTGGGAGCGGATTCCATATTTTTAACTATGTGCGGTGTTTTCTTTTGCCTGCACCGAATATTCCAACATTGTGGACGTCCACTAGTGCTTATGTGAAAGGAAGAAACGCTTTATCTGCTTTCTGCATCATTTTGTACATCTCTTATCATGTCTCCTTTTACTTGCCTTTTCTGTAAACTGAGAAGCTCAGAAAGTTGTAATCTTTCCGCGCTGGAGAGTTGCTCCATGCTATTGATCACTGTGGTTGACCTTTCTTGAGTGTTTTGCAGCTCTACAACATTCTTCTGGGTGTGAGGCAACTGGAACTGTACACAGTATTCAAAGTGTGAACCAGGATTGGTGTTAAATGCTCAGAATGATATTTCTCTGCAAGGGGATTGCAAGGATATCAGGATAAACAACCAGGTTAGACCAAAAATGCAAGTTCAAAGCTTTATCATCTTATAAAATGTTATACAGCTTAGGATGTTATTTCTGTAGTGAAGAGAAAACCTGGAAAGTGGAACAGAAATTGGAATGAAGGAATTGCCCTACAACAAAACTAACCCTAACACACACACCAAGAAAAGGAAAAATACACACACAAAAAAGAGGATCCTGGCTAGGGAGTCTTCTAAAGATAGAAACAAGGCAGGCATGAGATCAAAGCAATGAGGTCAAGTTTTGACTTTTGAAATGTCTACTGTGCAATATTCTCAGAATTTCTTCTTGTGAATTGGTTCTGAATTGTCATTGATGGGAGACTTTATATATGCACATTTCCTGGTGAACAAAAGTGTTCCCCGCCCCCCGCCCAGAATCCATAATGCCAATTGGCTTGAGAAAACAGCATTCTTCCCTGCCAAGATCCAGGTTTTGATCATCTTGATATTTTTATTATTTTTATTTCATTTCTATACTGCTTCATTTTTAAAAATAAATAAATTTTACTACCCACATTAAAACATGGCACAAAACATGTCACAAAGCAATCCAAAATAAAATATTACAGAAGAAAGTCAACTATAAAGTACATCCAAAGCAATATAATTAACAGGATACTAAAATATTATCTAAAAGATTTCAAAGCAAAACATTAAATTGATGCAGTCTGAAGAATAGATGTAGCCATCTGTCATGTATGATCTAGCTGAGATTCCTGCATTGTAGAGGGTCGGACTAGATGACTCTCAGAGTCTTTTCCAACTCTGCAAATCTATGATTCTGTGAAAAGAGGTAAAGTACAGAATGCACATTAAATGCAGCAAAGTTAACGGGGGGGGGGGGGAATACTTTAACGTTGCAAAAGAAAACATGACTAAAGGAAGTCAAATATAAAATGTACATTTAAAACAACATAATTAGCAAGAGAATATTCATGAAGATAGAACACATCTGCAGCTGTTGTTGCCAATCCTGCGAATGGTGGTTCATGGTGGGTGGTGGCTGTGGAAGCCCAGGCTCGATAACCTGAGTCTTTACTAAGAAACAGCCAAACTGGTCTCTCCACATGCATAGGAACTTCTCTTAAAGTAGAGAAGAATTCAGATTGCCTGCATCACCTTTCTTCACCCTTCCTGTAAGCTAAAACCACTCTCAAACTCTTACACACCTCCCACCTCTGGAATGTGGTTAGCTCAAACTTTTCCCAGGCTAAATCTCCTGCGGAAAGCCAAAAACTTCAAAAACACAGCTTTACTAATAATGAAATGATAGCATAGAATTTGAGAGTTGGAGACGTGTTTTAAAAGCATTAACTATGCATATATGAAACAAAAAGGCTTCTGACAAACAACAACTTGCACGGTTAAATAAGTTGGCCCTACTGCTTCTGCTTAGCGTTGCCCTTATAAAGAGAAAAACCCTTCCCTTCCCATTCTAAAACCCTGAAGCTGTGTTGTTAGGGAGCCTTGGTTTTCAAGGCATTAAGGGAACATGAGAGAAATGTTCTGAATCGCTCACGGTCCTCTTATCTTTGGAAGAGGAGCTTGCACATGAAATAACAGTGTTACACTCATTGAAAGGATCTTGTTTGGGAGAGGCAGAAAGAGCAACATCAAAAGTTTGCAAAAGGTTTTGTTTGGATAAGTGTACAGCTAAACATGCTGGTAACACAGAGAGTGGATTTAACTGGAAGATCTTCCCACTGTATTGTGATGTAACCAATGGAAGTGTAGTTTCATGTATTTTAAATTTAAAGCACTATATAAAGTACCGGTATGTTCCCTTGTTAGATGGGGGTCTTCTCTCTTCATTGTGGCGGTGAGAGTGGGGGAATCCTGCTACAGCAGTAAATAAAGATCACCCTCCTAGTTGTATTTTAATCATGACAGCTGAGCCTCTTCTAAAGACCATGAGTTGGAATCAACCATGTATTTGCACCCACAGAAGCCAGCGCAAGGACCCCTGCTAGTGCAACAGAACTATTCCTCCTCTCCTTCCCCACCACACCTTTCGCTCACACACATACTGTGGGATGGGTTTTAATAGGTAGGTAATTGCAATTTATCCCTCCAGGCTCCCACATATGTGGGCTAAATAGAGTTTTAAAATCCCACCGTGGACAGCAAAAATTAAAAGCACAGGAAATAGATTGTAAAATATTGTTTTAAGCAAGCCCAGCTATGAAGTAAAGTGGCTCTCCCTTTCTCACCCTGCTTCACAAAGAATCAGGAAACAACTTGGGAAGTAAGTTTCAAATAAGATTTACTTACTTTAAAATCATGCATTGGTTCACAGCAATGGCAGCTGTAGAAACTATGCAGGCAAAATACTTACATTCACAGTATAACCAGTTTCAGGCACATACCTAAATCTGGAGCATGCACGGGGTACACCTGCCCTCATGGTTGGTCAAAGGAAGGAAGGGGGGGAGAAGGAACAGAGGGGAAATGACATCACACAGAGTGTCTGCCTGTCAGCAGTACAGTTCTGTGGACTTAGCCCTTTCACATGCTAACTAGCAATAATACGCATTTGTTAGGTTTGGCTGCTAATCTCCCACACATACCACCCCTATTTCCCTAATACCCATCCTGAGAGGAGGAATCTGAGTTCTTCCATCCTACCGTTTGAGGACTGGATCATAAACTTTTACTTTGTTTTCAATATATTCTGCAGCACCATCTAATCCCTAAATGAGATAGCACAGCAAGTAGAGTGAAAGGACCTGGACAAACTCCCCCTCCTTCATGTGTGCACAAATGCCAAGATGAAAAAACAACAACGGTGCAATTCTAAAGCTTCCACAATCCTTAAATTACTGCCTGGTCCAATCCATTACGCAATCTTTCTGAGTCTGTATGCACATGGTGGAGGAAGAGGAGTGCTGGGGGAGCGCACCGCCCCCAGCAGCGCAATCCTGGTGAGGTGACATTGCGGCTGTCCCCCCCGCGCCCGCGCGCTGGGCACCACACACCCAGGACGTGCGCCAGCCCCACCACCGCCTGCTCTCTGCCCCCGCCCCCCGTGCCGGAGCATGAAGCTCTGTCACTGTCTGTATGTCTCTGCTTCTGTAGAACCAACAGGGGCAGACAGTACTAGATGTTCCAAACCCCAAATAACTATGAAGAGAGAGAATTGGGAAGTGAAACTGACCACCAGTACACCATGCCTCAAAAGTGGCAAAAAAGTGAGTAAAAATAAACGGGGAAATAAACCAAGACCGCAACCCTATGCACGTGTGAGTCAATAAACCTCAGTGAATTTCTGCAGAGGATTGAGATGCTGTGGAAAAGTTGATTTTTCTGCTAACAGCACATAGGAATTACTTTACTTTCTTTTGTATTTCAAAGGTTAGATTGCCCCTGAGATTCTCCCACCTCTTGCTATGAAGGTTTGATCATGGGGAACTGAAAGCAGAGGTGGGTCATTAGCAACGCAGATGAGCATTCTGGTTTGTGTAAATTTTGCTTTCTGATTACACCCTTTATGAAAATAAAAGCTGCCATAACCTTCCTGAAACAAGAGCCTCTCTCCAGCCAGCTGCTCCAAGTCAACATCACAGAATCTTAGCAGTTCATTATCACATGATTACTTCAGCTACTTAAGCAGCTATGCACACACTGTCTTTGTTTTGTTGTGACTGAATCGCTTTTCACATGCTTCAAACTGATAGGTTTTGAAGCAATGCAAATAAACACTCAAATGGAGAGAGAAGACATTTTGGACTTTTGCTATAAAAACAGGAGTGTCTTGTCACACATTAGAAATGAAAAGATTTCTTGTGGCAAAGGTTTTCATAGACTAGAATAGAACTTACCTCAATCAGTGTCAGGGACTGGCTGGAAGCTGAGAAATGGCTGGAAGGGCCAGCCAAGGAATCCTCAAGGGAAATCCCAGACTCAGAGCCTGGGGACTGGTGGAGGGACAATGAGAGGGAGAAGATTGGGAGGAGGTGCTGGAGGGACAACAGGGTTTAGTCAGCAAGAGGAACCAGACTCCAAGGCTGAAGGAGGAGGTGGGATCAAGAGGCTGCTGAAGTATCCTGGGAGTCTCCCTCTCTGGCTGTGACCAGCTCCCTTCCCTACTGGTCTCCAAGATCACACAGGATAATGAGGGCAGAACCTAGACTACAGGTGCTCAGACACAGCTTGAGACTACTTGGGAAACATCTGGTAGACAAGACTCTTAAAAGTCATGGTAGACAGAGACCTTCAATCCTAGCAACTCTATAGGTGCAAGACCAAATGGGGAGTGTTGCTGAGTTGCCTGCTGTTTCCTTGAATAGTTAACTTTACTGACAACTGACTCTGTTTCTTTGTGCTGACCTGCAACTGACTCCAGCCTTGACAATCAGGTAAATACAGTGCTATCCTCAGGTGGCAGATCTCAGCATGGATATAGAGAAAATAAAGATCTGGGAGTAAGTCTATGAGGCTTGAATTGTCTATCCACACCTCAGTTTTTTGCAAGGTAAGCACAGTGGCCATTTACAATAGTAACTGCAATAATATAATCTTCCTAGCTTTGCTATACCAATTTAACACCATGGTCTTGATTGACTGGGTCCTACATTAATAGAATCAAAACTGCTGATCAATCAATTTCACACCAAAAATCTCCATTAATTTTTTTTCCCAGTGCTGGGAAGTGTGATGACTTTGAAGTGGATCTCGGAAGGTTCATGCTCTCTCATTGGTTCCTGAGGCCAAACTGGTGGTCCTGCATAACATGACGTGAGAGATCTTGACTGGCTCCCCAACATCTTTTCCATTTTCTAAAAGCCATGGGGAGGCCAGCTGGGACCAGGGCCATGTCACCAGCAGTGGCGTAGTGTGGGGGGTGCAGGGGGGGCCGGCCGCACCGGGCGCAACATCTGAGGGTTAGGGGGCGCAAATCCACGGGTTAGGGGGTGCAAATTACTTGCCTTGCCCCGGGTGCTGACAACCCACGCTACGCCACTGGTCACCAGCGAAGCAGCTTTAATTATTTCTCCATGTACACATGGACATAGTCAGGATTTTTGTTGAGGGGTGGGGCAGCCAAAGTTGTTGAGCTTCTTTTAGGAAATCAAAGTTGGGAAATCAAAATACCCTATGAAGAGGACATTACAGGGGGGCTGGCTTCTGCTGTGGGGGGTGGGGGGGTAGCAGAGCCTCAAATAATTGAGTACTTTAATGCTTTTCAATAATATTTGTGGATCTAGGGGGGCAGCTGCCCCCCATGGCTACACCTATGCCTGTACAGATGACCCCCTTATAGTCACTATTAACAACAGGGCACTCGTCTTCTGCTCATATGATTTGCACTCCATGAGTAATAACAGCTCAGAGGGGATTGTGATATGCATCTGGGAACTGGCTTGCAATGGTAGGATTTAAGGCCCCTCCCATAGTGCCACATCCCAAATCCAAACTATTCTAGGGTGAGTTTCTGGAAAGAAATAAGCACATACAGTGGTACCTCAGGTTACATACGCTTCAGGTTACAGACTCCGCTAACCCAGAAATAATGCTTCAGGTTAAGAACTTTGCTTCAGGATGAGAACAGAAATTGTGCTCCAGCGGTGCAGCGGCAGCAGGAGGCCCCATTAGCTAAAGTGGTGTTTCAGGTTAAGAACAGTTTCAGGTTAAGAACGGACCTCTGGGACAAATTAAGTACTTAACCCGAGGTACCACTGTATCCGGTTTTGGATGGTCCTCATCAAATTTCATTTGGCCCTCAACATTGCTGTTTTTTATGTTGGATGTATGACCATTTATATTTGAAAAATAAAGATTGATGTTTTAACCTTGTGATTGACCTGCAGCATATGTCACATTAGAGATTCATGGGCACCCTGACAGTGATTGCTATTCAGTGCTGTAATAGCGTTGTCTGAGTGGATATGAGGATGAAACTTGTATCTGGGTTTGTTGCAGGGTCTAGACTCATCTTAACCTTAGCTTCACAGTAACACAAATTAGTTCACAGCTTAGGGGCTAATCAGTCTGGCAGGTAATGATGCTGGCAATGTTTGTGTTGCCAGTCAGTGTCTGCGTTATAACAGTGTGAGTAAATGTGCTAAACGTGATCAGTGTAGCTGTCTCACTCTTTCCTGGCTGTTCATTATAAGAAATAATGCCCATAAATTTGCAGTTAAGGGGGATATTGGGAGCAAGTTGCCAGTGTGAGAAGAGATGAAACCATGTGTATTTAAGTAGGGGAAAAAGATAAAAATACATTGCACTGATACAAGGCCGGCTTGCCTTTGTTATTGTGAACTGAATAAAGAACTTAACTGTTGTTAATCACTATATATACATTGTTTTGAGTTTGGGGTGTCAGTCTGGATGATACCCTGGGTCCCTTCCATGTGATTCTCTGTATGTGGGGTAGAATCTACAACAAGAAACCAGCCAAACCAGTTCCTTTAAGTTAATAGCTTCAGCTGGCCAGTTAAGCACTGTCCAAAGAAGCACTGTCCAAAGAAGTTTACATGTCCAAAGAAGTTGCCATAGAGGCAAATGGGTGGGCCTTTCCTCACCTCACCTGGCTGGATGCCACATCATCCTAAGATAGGGTTGCCATATTTCAAAAAGTAAAAAGCAGGACACCTCAAAATTGTTTAGCTTTCTTTCAGGAAACCACGAAAATCGTTGAGCTTTTTAAAGACACATCCAAAAGATGTGATGTCCAAGAGACAGACATGCTTGCTCTCTGCTGGACTTTGGGGAGTGTTAATGCTATGAGCTCAGGTTTTACATATGTAGAAATAAAACCATATACAGTGGTACCTTGGGTTACAGACGCTTCAGGTTACAGACTCCGCTAACCCAGAAATAGTGCTTCAGGTTAAGAACTTTGCTTCAGGATGAGAACAGAAATCGTGCTCCAGCGGTGCGGCGGCAGCAGGAGGCCCCACTTTTAGCTAAAGTGGTGCTTCAAGTTAAGAACAGTTTCAAGTTAAGAACGGACCTCCGGAACAAATTAAGTACTTAACCCAAGGTACCACTGCATTAGTACAAGTTGTGGGGTGCCCACTAGCTTAGAGGACTTAAAAGGGGACTAGGCTAACTCATGGAGCTGGAGCTCAGCCTTTCGGGGGCTGCAGCTATCGAGTCCACCCTCCTCTGTATTTGTAAGTAAACACATATCTGAAAGCATCCTTATCTCTTGATAAGGAAACTGACCTTGTGGAGGTAGGTAGAGCCAACTGTCTTTTAGCACTATGAATTAGGGCTGCAAAGCAATGTTTACTTATTCCAACAGCCTGTAAACTAGGGGTCAGCAAACTTTTTCAGCAGGGGGCCAGTCCACTGTCCCTCAGACCTTGTGAGGGGCCAGACTACATTTGGGGGGGAGAAATGAATAATTTCTATGCTCCACAAATAACCCCAAGATGCATTTTAAATAAAAGCACACATT